CAGCCTCCTTGATTTCCTTTATCCTCTCATTGCCAATCTCTCTAAACTGTCTTTGGTGATTAAGGTCCCTGTGAATTTGTGACCTGTAGTCCTGGTATTTTGCTCCACTGTCCCACCTTCTTTTTTGCATTCCTAGTTATGGTACATTAAATCACTCCTTGCCCAGAAGGGTGGGAATACCATGGTAGATGCCCAGCAATAAGAATGATTGTGTTCGTCTTGCCTTTTGGAATAGGCACTTATTTTTCCTCATTATCATTATTGTGGTAACTCTACTGGTAACTGCATGGAGATCCACCTTGGTAACTCTTTTTTTTTTCCCAACTAGATTTGATAGCTAGGTGACTTATTTCTTTAACCTCAACCACAGCCTTTTCATTTCCTGCTGAGGGTTATTCTTCACAGTAGTCTGATATTCAAATGCATCTTCCTTAGGCTTAAATATTTCCTTCCTTTCTTTTGATGAAACCATATCAATGTTTTATTAAACCCTTTTACTTTCTCCAAAACCTTTGTTGCTGTAATCTTCTTGTCCCTACTAGTGGGTATCAGTGTTTGTGGGGCTGCCAGGGGCGATTGGGGAAAGGATGGCTGCCAGGTCTCAGCCTCACTGTTCATGTTGTAGAGAGGGTGATTAATGAGGGGCTTGATGCAGCAGTGGTAGGCTTCTCCCAGATTGTGATGGTGACTGGGCTGCTTATGACTCTCTGGGGTCCACTCTTCATTTCTACAACCAGTTAAACTCATTCTCTTTCTCATATGCTATGGCAATCATGCAGGTACACTGCTTAGATGTCTCTCTAAGAAAGAATTTCAGTTTCAGGGAGTATAGTTAGCTGACAACCTTCAGGATCTTTAGATTTGGGATTGAGAACCTGAATTTCCTGGGAAATCCACAGCCAATGATAGAGCATGGCACTGGCCCATTTTGGCCCAGTACAGGACTCCTCTAATGGACAGTCTTGCTCTGAAACACCCTACTGGGTTGACCAAGACTTTGCTAGATCTTCATCAAGGTCTGAAGCTTTCTCTGCTCAGTCCTGCTTCACAGCCACTTCCTTCATAGGTTTTAAATCTGCGTCATGGTCTGAAAGTTTTCTTTTTTTAATTTTTATTTTTAATTTAATTTTTTTTTTTTTTGAAGCAAAGTCTCACTTTGTTGCCCAGGCCAAAGTGCAGTGGAGCAATCTCTGTTCACCGCAACCTCTGCCTCCTGAGTTTAAGTGATTCTCCTGCCTCAGCCTCCGAAGTAGCTGGTATTACAGGCGCACACCACCACACTCAGATCTAATTTTTTGTATTTTTAGTAGAGACAGGGTTTCACCATGTTGGCCAGGCTATTCTCAAACTCCTGACCTCAAGTGATCTGCCCGCCTTGGCCTCCTGAAGTGCTGGGATTACAGGGCGTGAGCTACTGCTCCTGGCCTGGTCTGAAAGTTTTCTGTGCCCAGTCCTCTTTTCTCCCTCTTTTATCTTGAACAATAAACCTGTTGTACACCTAACTCTCGTCTGCTTCTCAGAGGACCCCAAATGACACATATCACTTCCACTGGTTATTTACCTAATCAATTTCTAAAATTGAAGTAAGGATTATCTAATTTCCGTTTTGTAACTCCTTTTGACTCCTCCCAGTATTTTTCAGATCATCATTTTCCTCCAACCCCAGCTCCTGCATCTCCTCTAATGTCCATCTGTATTGTAAAAAGCACCATTATTTACTCAGTTACTTTTACATCTTCCACATTTAAGTTTATGACCCATCTTTTATGGGTGCAGGGGGAATGGAGGTGGTATTTTGTGAGACAAGAATCAGACAATGAAAAAGGAGTTACTCTAGTGAGGGACGAAGGAGGTCACAGGTAATGCAGGTCAGATCGTGTAGAGCTTTGTTGTAAGTCATTAATAGACCATTGAAAGGACTTTAGCTTCTACTCTGTGTGAGATGGGGGATGGGGAGTCATTGGAAGGTTTTGAGCAGAGGAGTAATATCTGACTTAGTTTTTACCGCGAACATTTTGGCTGCTCTGGAGAACAGACAGAGGGCAGATAAGTTGGAAGCAGGAAGGCTAGTTGGGAGAGTATCACAATAAACTAAGTACAAGGCATTGGTAGCTTGCACCAAGGTGATAGCAGTATAGTTAAGAATTGGTTTATTATCTGGGGGCAAGACTCAAACAGTGTCATTTTATTTGTAAAAGCTCCCTAGGAGTTTCTGGTAAACATGAGGGTTGAGAATTTGTGCTACATTTTATAAATTTTTATAGGAATGCCTGGACTTACAGATACCTACTTTGTAGGTATATTTGTTATGATTAAGTGAACTAATATGAATTAAATGAGCTAGCATCTGACATATTCATGCTTTAAAAGTAGTAGCTTAGAGAAATCTGACACATGAGATGATAAAAATTTTAGGATTGATAATGTTCAGTGTTGATGAGGATGTGGAGGAATAGGTCCCACTGTTGGTGAGAATGTATATGAAGGGCAGTTTGGGAATATTTATCAAAATTTCAACATTCATGACCCATGAATTCTCCTTCTAGAAATTTTATTTGTGGAAACATTCACACCTGTGTTCAGATAGTCAGTGTGGCATCTTTTAATGGCAAACAGTTGGAAATAATATTCCTAATAAATAAATTGTGATATATTGATTTATGGAATGCTATATGGTTATGAAAAATAATAGGTAGGTCTATATATACTGTCATGGAAAGACTACTAGTATGTATTTTAGTTTTGTTTTTTGTTTTAAAAAAGTAGCACCAATGTATCATTTGAGGGTACTTAACATCCTCACTATTTGAAATCTACATGATTATGTTCATTTATCAGTTCTATGGAATTTTATATGAGCTCTTATAAAAAAGGTAGGCCATAAGACCAGGCATGGTGACTCATGCCTGTAGTCCCAGTACTTTTGGAGACAGAGGTGGGCAGATCACTTAAGGCCAGGAGTTTGAAACCAGCCTGGCCAACATGGAACAAACCCTGTCCTCTACTAAAAATAGAAAATTTAGCCAGGGCCTGGCATGGTGGCTCACACCTGCAATCCCAGCACTTTGGGAGGCTGAGGAGAGCGGATCACTTGAGGTCAAGAGTTGGAGACCAGCCTGATCAACATGGCAAAACCCTGTCTCTACCAAAAATACAAAAATTAGCTGGGTGTGGTGGCACATGCCTGTAATTCCAGGTGCTTGGGAAGCTGAAGCAGGAGAATTGCTTGAATGGGAGGCAGAGATTGCGATAAGCTGAAATGGCTCCACTGCACTCCATTCTCAGTTCAGTGACAGAACAAGACTCTGTCTCAAAAAAAAAAAAAAAAAGAGAAAAGAAAAGGTAGGCTGGGCACAGTGACTCAAGCCTATAATCCCAGCACTTTGGCAGGCCAAGGCAAGTGGATTGCCTGAGCCCAGGAGTTTGAGACTAGCCTGGGCAACACAGCGAGACCCTGTCTCTATTATAAAATAAAATAAAATACTCTCAGTGAGAGTAGTTTCATAAACAATAATTATCAAATTATTATAGTACCCATATTTTCTTTAACAGTATCGTAAGCCTCATTATAATAACACTGTTTTATGTACTGTATATCTGTTTTTAGATATTTAAAGAGCTATACATTATCATAAGCTAAATCATAGATGCTCTCAAGGATTTCGTTTAGGAAATACGTACGAAAATTCTATATGTTCAGCATTCTATTAGGAAATACTGAAGATGCAAATATATTGCACAGTTTCTGTCTCTACTTAACTAATAACCAAATGAATAGGTAAGATGAAACAGATGAAATAAATTTTTTAAAAAGTATTTTATATATGTATATGTTCTGGTGTGCTTCTAGGAATTTGTCCTAGGCAAATAATTCAACAAGTACATAATGACAAATATACAATAGTATTCATTGCAGTGTTTATAATAATAATAAACTGCACATAACCTAAGTGACCATCAGTAGGTATTAAATAACTTATGATAAACATAATGAAATATGTAGTAATTAAAAATAATTATTTAGAGCTATAGTTATTAACAGATAAAACCTACAGTCTACTAAGAGGGGAAAATAAATTTAATATATTATGTATAATATCTTCTCTCTACAGATGGTAAGACTGGAATAATCAGAAAAAGTAAGGAATAGAATAGATTTGGATAGACAGCATATAGAAGAGGACATTTTAAATTAGCATTTCCTAACCTTTTTGGACTCAGATTTCTTAATTTTAAAATTGTATCAATTTGCATCATATATGGTAAAAAGTGTTTTTTAAGAAGTATTTTATATCAGTATAATAACTTAAAATTGCTTTCCGAGCCAGGCATAGTAGCCCACGCTTGTAATCCCATCACGTTGGGAGGCCAAAGTGGGCAGATCACTTGAGGCTAGCATGTTGATACCAGCCTGCACGATGCAGCAAAACGCTGTTTCTACTAAAAATACAAAAATTAGCTGGGTGTAGTGGCGCATGCCTGTAATCTCAGCTATTCAGGAGACTGAGGCACAAGAATCACTTGAACCCAGGAGGCGGAGCTTGCAGTGAGCCAAGATTGCATCACTGTACTGTCGTCTGGGTGACAGAGCAAGACTGTCTCAGGAAAAAAAAGAAAAAATTTGCTTTATAAATTGTTCTTCTTTGTTTTACAGAATCATTTTGGCTCATAGTAAGGAAGCTTTCTAATAATTAGAACTATTTAACAGTTTAAGATTTCAGGCATTCTATGTTTCTGTGTGACCATTTATCATATATGCTGAAAATAAACTTTAGTTCTCATCTAATTTACTGATTTCCTGGATTTAACAAGTAGCAAACTCATTTATGGCCCCATGGACAAAGTTCATTGCCTGTGCCTGAGGGTGTGTGAAAATCTCTCATAAAGAAAGGTAGTGTCATTTTTTTTTTTAATTTGCAAGTTATAAAATTGCATTTCACAGTATTTAGGAATGCCATAATTTGTGACATTTTTAACCTGTATGCTTTATTCCCACTTAGGCCGAATACATCAAGCAATGGTAACATCTTTAAATGAAGATAATGAAAGTGTAACTGTTGAATGGATAGAAAATGGAGATACAAAAGGCAAAGAGGTAAGATCACTGGGTTAAATTTTATTCCTAGTCCTGCACTCAAGATTCTGAATGTAAAACAAAACGGCGAGGTACATAATGTTATTTAGTGCATATATTTTTCTTATTCCTTGAAAACTTTCAAATGATTAAAATTTTCACTTAAAGGTAGATTCCTCCTACATCTCTTATGTGATTGCACATATCAATCTTGTTAATTATTTGATAAACATATTCTTGGCCAGGCACGGTGGCTCATACCTATAATCCCAGCACTTTGGGAGGCCGAGACGGGTAGATTACAAGGTCAGGAGTTCAAGACCAGCCTGGTCAATATGGTGAAACCCCGTCTCTACTAAAAATACAAAAATTAGCTGGACATGGTGATGTGCCCCTGTAGTCCCAGCTACTCAGGAAGCTGAGGCAGGAGAATTGCTTGAATTTGGGAGGTGGAGGTTGCAATGAGTTGAGATCGTGCCACTGCACTCCAGCCTGGGCGACAGAGCAAGACTCCGTCTCAAAAAAAATAAAAAATAAAATTATTTTACCCTAGCTCACACAATTTGAAAGTGTGCTATAATATTTAATTATGTGGTTCTATTGGTCACTGTGTTGTTAGCAGTTCATACAGTCAAGACTGTAAAATGATATTTTAGGAGAGATTCTTTAACTTTGTGGATTATAATTCTAAATCTAGTTTGTAAAGCTAAGGCACTGTTTTTACTGGGTTTTTTGTTTTGTTTTGTTTTTTGTATTTTTTAGTCAGGATCTTACTTTGTCACCCAGGCTGGAGTGCAGTGGCATGATCATGGCTCACTGCAGCCTTGACCTCCTGGGCTCAAATGATCCTCCCATCTGTCTCCAGAGTAGCTGGGACTACTACAGAGTAGCTGCACTACCACACCTGTCTATTTTTTGTATTTTTTATAGAGATAGGGTTTCACAATGTTGCCCAGGCTGTTCTCAGACTCCTAGGCTCAAGCGATCTGCCCACCTTGACCTCCCGAAGTGCTAAGATTACAGACATGAGCCTCTACACCCAGCAGAGGTACTGTATTCATTAGGCTAAAATAATTTATTTACTGTGTCAATTTATTTGAAAAATAAACGGTTAATTGTCAAAATATAGTCTCAAAAGACATACATATGTCTGCTGTGAACAGATTGACCTGGAGAGCATCTTTTCACTTAACCCTGACCTTGTTCCTGATGAAGAAATTGAACCCAGTCCAGAAACACCTCCACCTCCAGCATCCTCAGCCAAAGTAAACAAAATTGTAAAGGTTAGTGATGAATATTCAGAGCGCAAAACAGTGGGGGACAGCGTTGGGTATAGATATGTGTGTATTCTAGTTTGAAATTTGTGGACTGTGAAGAGTATATTTTAAGTATTGATTAATTTTCTTTTTCCGCCATCCATATTCATATATGTGCATACATGTTTTCAAGGATTGAGGTTGTCTAATTCACAGTTATGACAATTATTGGATAAGGTCTTAGAAATTTCTCACCTAATTAGGATTTTCATGAGACTTGAGTTTCTCAGGAGATACAGATCAAAACCATTTGCTTGTTGGTGTTTGTTGAATGAATATATATGACTTTGACAAAGGCATAATAGCTGTTTCTTATGAATAATAACTACCAACTCAGTCTTTTGAAATTATAATTCTGCTATTTGTTTATTAAAGAAAGATTGGAAATGATAGTGTAGTTTGCTTATATATTATCTGTGGTGATATACCTTAAACTGTGCTAAATCCTTCTAGCAGTTTCATCTTTATAAAAATTAAAAGCACATTATTCTTACTGATTTTAAAGATAATACTCCTTTCTTTTTCTCAAGACCTTTCAGTATTAGAATTTTGTTTCAAAATATAACTCTTTCAAACAGGTTTATTGTAAAAGTTGTTGAATCTGCACTTCTTGGTGTTCAACAATCATTTATTGTTTGTTTGTTTTTTTTTTTATATTGTGTCAGATACTTTGTGGGACAAAATACAAAGATGAATATGACATGGTTTTCAGCCTTTAGGAACTTGATATCTTTCAGGGAGGACATAGATAAGCATCTAAATATAGTATGTTAGAAGCAACAAAACTTTGTTTTGTAAACTGTGCAGATGAACATAAGGCATATTTTCAACTCATATAAGTTTAATTATATTGCGAGTCACCACTTAAAGTTTATTAGCTACCACTTGTAAATGGGTTGTTTTTCATATTCAGTTTCAAAATGAAGGATCTTCATTGGAGGATCTTCATAGTTTATTCTTCCTGGCATATCATTAGCAACCTTTACTGTACATTAGAATTACCTGAAATAGAATAAATTAGTATATTTTAAAAATAAATAAGCATTTATTTTAAAAAATATTAAAAAATATAAATCAGTATTTTTTTTTTTTTAAAGACGGAGTTTCACCATGTTGGTCAGGCTGGTCTTGAACTCCTGACCTAAGGTGATCTGCCCGCCTTGGCCTCCAAAGTGCTTGGATTACAGGCATGAGCCACCACCCCCAGCCTCAATCAGTGTTTTTTAAAATACTCATTTATGGGCCCCACTCCCAGGGATTCAGTTTTATTTTACCTAAAGGGAGGCCCTGGCATCAGCGTCCTCTTAATAGTACTAGTACTCATCTGATTTGAATGTGCAGCCAAGGTTAAAAACAACTACTTTGTTTGATATCTTTTTTTGATGTGAATAAAAGGAAGTCTTCCTGAATAAATTAGAGGACCAAAGGTTTGCTGCCTTAATCTGTATAGTACAAGTCTTTGAAACTCTTATGAAACCTTTTTAGGATAACTGACAATACACATATTATTCTGATATTTCAGTTTAACAAGGGGGTTCTAAGCTGTCTAGAACTACTATTTTATGACTTACCCCCTATTATTCAGAAATGACATTTATTACATGGTTTTACCAGCATAGTATGATGGTTAAAACACATATTATTGTGAAGCTGCTTAACCTCTCTTTGTTTCAATTTCCTCACCAATGAAATGGGAATAGCAGTAGTAATGACCTCATAGGTTGTTGTAAAGAAAGTGCTTAGAGCTGTGCCTGGCTCATATTAATTCCTGGATATTTTTGGAGGGTAGGGAAAAATATATAAAGGAACTTGGATATTGATAGCATGAATAGTAATTCATTAAGATTATAGTTTTTCTTCATTTTGTTTTATATTCTTGTATGTTTGCCTAGTTTTATTTAATTGAAAGAAGCTCAGATCATGATATATATGAGGAGTAAAGACAGAAAATATAATGAACATTTTTTCCTATCATAGAATCGACGGACTGTGGCTTCTATTAAGAATGAGCCTCCTCCAAGAGATAATAGAGGTAAAATAAAAATTTATCTCTTAATTTTGGCTATTGATTTCTTAGTATGTTCCTGACAAGGTAAATCAAAAGTAAAAATTACCCTCAATGTTGGCATTTATGTATTTATTTAAATTTCCTCTGGCTAATTTTAAGAGGGTTTTTTTTTTTTTTTTTTAAGGCAGGGTCTTGCTCTGTCACCTAGACTGGAGTACAGTGGCATGAACACAGCTTACTACAGCCTTGACCTCCCAGGGTCAAATGATCCTCCTGTCTCCGCCTCAGGTGTGGCTGGGACCACAGGCATGTGCCACCATGGCCACCTAATTTTTTGAATTTTTTGTAGAGACAGCCTCTCTCCATGTTGCCCAGTCTGGTCTTGAACTGCTGTGCTCTAGTGATGCTCCTGCCTTGACCTTCCAGAGTGTTTACAGGGATTATTGGTGTGAGCCATCGTGCCCGGCAAGGTGTCTTCCTGAATTCTTAATACAATATGTTAATACTGAAAAATGATTTTGTCTGGTGTGGTGGCTCACGCCACTTTGGGAGGCTGAGGCGGGTGGATCACCTGGGTCATAGTTCAAGACCATTCTTGTCAACATGGTGATACCCCGTCTCTACTAAAAATACAGAAAATTAGCCAGGTATGGTGGCAGTGCCTGTAATCCCAGCTACTCGGGAGGCTGAGGTAGGAGAAGTGCTTGAACCCAGAAAGCAGGGGTTGCATAAGCCGAGATTGCACCACTGCACTCCAGCCTGGGTAGCAGAGGAAGACTCTGTCTCCAAGAAAAAAAAAAAAAAAGAAAGAAAGAAAAATGATTTTTAAAATGTATGGGATGATGGCAGGGTGCAGTGGCTCACCCCTTTAATCCCAGCTCTTTGGGAGGCTGAGGCAGGCTGATCACCTGAGGTCAGGAGTTCAAGACCATCCTGGCCAACATGGTGAAACCCCGTCTCTACTAAAAATACAAAATTAGCCGAGTGCAGTGGCATACACCTGTAGTCTCAGCTACCCAGCCAGGATGCTAAGGCAAAAGGATCACTTGAACCCGGAAGGTGGAGGTTGCAGTGAGGTGAGATTGTATTACTGCACTCCAGCCTGGGCAATAGAGTGAGACTCTGTCTCAAAAAAATAAATAAATAAAATAACAAAATAAAATAAAATGTATGTGATTAATATGAAACTATAAAATGCAATTTTTAATTAATCTTAATTACTAAATAATTTCATAAATTCAAGAAGAATATCATGAGAAAGAAAGGAATGGGGAAAAATTAGTTGGCTGATTTCACTAGCTAAAGAAAAGTTGAACAGACATAAAAATTGTGTAATTAACTGAAGTCTCCCATATATTTTCAGCCAGGACATGAAAAATGTAATGGATTTATTTTCTACTGTTTAGTAGTTCAGAATTTTCTGGTAGTATTGTTTCTCTGTGTGTATGTGTGTGAATGGACAGTATTAAAGGAGAGGTTGGAAGTAGAGGAACAGTCCTTCAGTTTAAACACCATCTTTAGAGTCTTGTGCAAATTTATATTTCTTTTAAAATTTGATATTTATATTTAATTTATATTCTTTTTTCCTCTTTTATAATATTTACAATGGGAAATTCTCTGCTGAAGATTTGCGTATTTGAGGAGCAAAGAGTGGGATTTGGAATATAGGGAGGGTTGAAGAATTCTAAGTTATTACTCTCTGTATATATTTGATTAGTGTAAATTTTTACAAATGAGAATGCTTGTAGAACTTATATTTTACACACATATTTTAGGAGGATTTCTTTGCAGTTTAAAGTTTAAGACATGGAGGGGTTCACACATTTTTTTCCTTCAAATTTATATCTTAAAGGATTATTAAAAATCAAGCTTGGCTTGGGTTTTTAATGTAAATTATTTAGATTGAGTTTTGTAGCTAAAATTTCATTGGTGAAAGCTAAGTCTGCACTTATTACTTTGAAAGCTTCTTTTAGCTTATGTCAGTTTGTTGAACTGAATTGATTTATTATAAACTATATTGTATTTTACATATATAAATAGAACACTTGGCAACTTACTAATGTAACTTTTAAGTATCAGGTTTTGGGGATATCTCTTCCTTTTACTGAAGTTAACTTTTATTAATTTTCTATCCTGAATTTAAATTTTTTTTTTTTTTTACTTACAGTGGTTGGTTCTGCACGTGCACGGCCCAGTCAGTTTCCTGAACAGTCTTCCTCTGCACAACAGAATGGTAGTGTTTCAGATATATCTCCAGTTCAAGCTGCAAAAAAGGAATTTGGACCCCCTTGTATGTAAATTATGTATCAAGGATTTAGTCATTTTAGGCATACATGTATTCTGTCTTGGTCATCCTTTTAAGTCCTCAAATAGTAAACAGTCTAAATACAAGCTTGATTGCAGATTTCATTTTACCACTGTGGAAAATTTAACTTATTTTTATTCGTTTAGTCTATTAATTGAGTTTTTTCATGTATATTTTGGAGCAAAATTTTTTTTTGTGAAATTATAGCAATGTTTCAGTTTGAGTTTGAAATTCTGAGCAGACGATAATTTGTCAGATGTTATAGAAGAAAGTCTTGTGCCTCCTTGATTCTTTGAATTCAAAGATCTGTATTTCTAAACCAAGAGATGACATGTATCAATATGTTTGAGCCATTTTTCTGGATTCCCATCTGTACGTTGTCCTATCTTAGTTTTGGTAAAGCAGCTCATTAAATAAGGCTCACATAGTTGTTATAGACACGCTTTGTCACTGTGTACCTGTTGTGTATGTGTGGTGAAGTTATACATAAAAAATTTTAATATATATATACTCTAAAAAAGAAAACTATACTTCTACAGCTCATCTTTTCTTTTCAGCACGTAGAAAATCTAATTGTGTGAAAGAAGTAGAAAAACTGCAAGAAAAACGAGAAAAAAGGAGACTGCAACAGCAAGAACTTAGAGAAAAAAGAGCCCAGGTTTGTAACATAAACATATATTTTGTTTGTATACCAGCTAAAGTTTAGATTATATCAGTGAAAATTATTCATCAGCGAAAAAAATAATTAAGGCATATTTTGGAGAATTTTAAGAATTCTTTAAATTGATATTTAAGGAATAATATGAGCTCTTGTGAAAATAAGTTACCATAAAAAATTTTTACTACATTGTCCTTTTCATGTTTTATGGGTATGTGTTAACCCTAAAATTTGTTCCATTAAGAAAGAGCCATTGTATTACAGAATTCTAATGTGTATAGTATAACCTTCAAGAATTTTTATTTTAAAAATACCTAAAATTACATTGGAAAAAATATCCAGTTAAAGTGCTTGATTAAACTGTACATTTTATTATTGTTTTTCTGGTTAATAAGTTCACATGTCATAGAGAAAGGGGGGAAATTCCTTGTGTTTTAATTTATGCCACATATGAAGAGTGGACCTGTATTGTATCCCTCTCGTGGTCTACTTCATATGGTAACAAGACTGTTTAATAGCAGTGGGAAAATTGCATAGAGAACTGGTCTTCTACCCTTCTACAGGTTTTCGCATATTAGACATTTTGTTACTATACATGTAACTTCACCATTGTGCTTGTATGGCATCTGTTACATTCTTAGAACTACTTTTCTATAATAAAACATCAGGATTATTCAATAGTACGTTCAAATGCCCTAAATCATGTTAAACTACCAGTTCATATGTTGTGTTGTGGAATTGTGGACCTAGTATTATATCCAGACTGAATGAATCAGCTTTTATCCGAAAGTGACCTTAGAATGACTACTTGGGTTTTGAAATAAAGAATAAAACAGATTATCTACTAATACTTAGCATAGATGCCACCTGGTGTTTCCTGTGGGTACTTCATAATACTTACACATCTCTCTGTGATCTCTTAATTCTCACTTCACAGTCTGCTTCTCAGTTGACATAGGTGGTATTATTTCCTAGAAGAAGGTTAATTGAAAGTAAGTTTCAGTAACAGTTTGTAATTTAGTTGCATTCAAAACAAATCTGAATATGATGTATGAAAAAAATCTGACTTCTTAGAATGATTAATAATGTATTGTTGAAGGCTAGGAGAGGTTGTTGACTATTGCTATTTGTATATTAATCCGAATTTTCTGTTTTGAAGCCAAATAAATTGTAGTCAGCATTCAAAAAATTGAATTTTAAAGATTTTTTTAAAATGACCTTGGCTTCTGATTCCTTTAAGTTCTATGTTTTGTCCATTTGGGGCAGCAATGTCATTACTTAATATTTTTTAGAGGGTTAGCAGAAATAGGAAATGAAGATAAATGAATCCATATTTATACTTTGCTGAAACACTGGATTAAATTAGAAGGTGAATCTGATTAAATGAATTTTCCTAGAATTTCAGCTTTTCTAGAGTTATTTGCCAGTGGTTAACATGAGCATTATTTCTCTATTGCTCCTTTGTATAGGATAATTAAGGTATATGTATAACAGATGGATTTTTGAAATAGATAAACGGTAAATTCAGTGAAGATTCTTTACTTTGGAGTTAACAGAATGCATGCAGACTAAGAGAATTGTTTGTTTGTTTTAGAATTGTTTTTTAATATGAAAGCGATTCAGAGCTTATTATGAAATCACAACTATGAAACTATGTATTTTCAGTTTGAGTTTGGGCTTGGTTATGATAAATAGCACTATCTATTTTAATTTTAATTTTCAAACCATGTATAACAAATGCAACAAATACATTATTGTAACTATAATAAATGGTGAATTCTCTTTGTCTTCTAATAGGATGTTGATGCTACAAACCCAAATTATGAAATTATGTGTATGATCAGAGACTTTAGAGGAAGTTTGGATTATAGACCATTAACAACAGCAGATCCTGTAAGATTCTTTGTAAACCATTATTCTGGAACTTTTTACGCCTCAAATAAAAACATGTGTTTGACACTTGCTAAATTCATATTGTATTTAGCTATGCAGTTTTTCCTGTCCATATGCTTGCTTATTCTCCATAATTTAAGGAGAAAATCAAGAAATAATTCACATGAATGGTCATTTCCCATAATTTGATATATGAGCTATACTGCCTATAGAGATGTCCTTCTCAAAGCAAAGCCTCCCTGTCTTTGGAAGGGCAGGGCAACACTTAAAGGAATGACAGCAGAAGATCCACTTTCCTTTCTGTCAGTTATACTTTGATCTCAATTCCAAGCTTATCTTTGGCTTGGGCTGTAGGTCCCACCAACATTTCTAATTTACTATTAGTAATTTGTTAGTTTTCAATGTATTCTGGCTTTTAACAGTAAGTATTGGTTGTTGAGGGCTGTAGTGGACTAGAAATCTAGAACTGGAAAAAATCCTCTGCTCTTATTACTCCTTTCCTATTGAGGAATGAGAATTCACTGGACAAGGAATGCTTTTTTTTTTTTTTTCTTTGGAGATGGAGTGTCACTCCATTGCCCAGTCTGAAGTGCAATGGCACAATCTTGGCTCATTGTAACCTCTACCTCTCGGGTTCAAGCGATTCTCCTATCTCAGCCTCTGGAGTAACTGGGACTACAGGCGCCTGCCACCACGCCCAGCTAATTTTTGTATTTTTAGTAGAGACAAGGTTTTACCTTGTTGGTCAGGCTGGTCTGGAACTCCTGACCTCAGGTGATCCACCCACCTCAGCCTCCCAAAGTGCTGGGATTACATGTGTGAGCCACTGCACCCGGCCAGGAATCCTTTTATAACTAAATAAAACTTACAAAAAATAATCCGTCTGTCATAGCATATACGGAATCTGTTAGTTACCAAAACAAAACATTTGTGTTAGATAGATGTATTATACAGAATTTAATAGAATTATTCATAATACTTGTATCCCACATATTTTAGGCCTCGCTATTTCTTCATGTGTTTCACTTACTACATTGGAGCTCACACTTTAGGACAGGAATTGGCAAACATTTTCTGCAAGGGTCTTTGGCTTTGAAAATATATGATCTTTGTCACAACTACTGAACTCTGCTATTATATTGTAAAAGCAACCATAGACAATGTATAAATGATGGGTATAACATTTGTTTCAATCGATGTGTGTCAGTAAAACTTTGCAGAAGCAGGTAGTAGCTAAATTAGGCCCACAGGCCATGCTTTGCCAATCCTTGCTTTATGTTACTTATTATTAAAGGGAGGCATGTATTGGGAACAAAAATTTTGTATAAGAATTGGCGTACCGCCGGGCGCGGTGGCTCAAGCCTGTAATCCCAGCACTTTGGGAGGCCGAGGCGGGTGGATCACAAGGTCAAGAGATCGAGACCATCCTGGTCAACATGGTGAAACCCCGTCTCTACTAAAAATACAAAAAATTAGCTGGGCATGGTGGCACGTGCCTGTAATCCCAGCTACTCAGGAGGCTGAGGCAGGAGAATTGCCTGAACCCAGGAGGCGGAGGTTGCGGTGAGCCGAGATCGCGCCATTGCACTCCAGCCTGGGTAACAAGAGCGAAACTCCGTCTCAAAAAAAAAAAAAAAAAAAAAAAGAATTGGCGTATTTATAAGATAGTTCAAATTACTTGGCTTAGTAATCTTCTGATAATCCTGTTTCTTGCCGGTAGTTTTCTTTGCTAGCAACTTTCCGAAAATAGGTCACTTAGTAGGATAATACAGCTTTTTTTTTTTTTTTTTTTTTTTTTTAGACAGAGTCTTCTCTGTTGCCCAGGCTGGAGCGTAGTAGCAGGATCTCGGCTCACTGCAACCTCTGCCTCCTGGGTTCAGGCAATTCTTGTGCCTGAGCCACCCGAGTAGCTGGAATTACAGGCATGTACCACCATGCCCAGCTAGTTTTTGTATTTTACTAGAGACAGAATTTTACCATGTTGGCTGAGCTGGTCTCGAACTCATGACCTCAAGTGTTCCAGGCACCTTAGCCTCCCAAAGTGCTGGGAGTACCCACCGTGCCTGGCATCACAGCTTCTTTTTTTTTTTTTTTTTTTTTTTGTCCTGAGATGGAGTCTCACTCTGTTTACCAGGCTGGTAGCCAGTGGCACAATCTCAGCCCACTGTAACCTCCGCCTCCCAGGTTCAAGTGATTCTCCCACCTCAGCCTCCCGAGTAGCCGGGACTATAGGCATGCCTCACCACTCCTGGTTAATTTTTGTATTTTAGTAGAGATGGAGTTTCTCCATGTTGGCCAAGGTGTTCTTGAACTCCTAACCTCAGGTGATCTGCCCACCTCAGCCTCCCAAAGTGCTGGAATTACAGGAGTGAGCCACTACGCCTGGCCTCCTCATGGCTTCTTAATGTGAACATAATGCTACTCACAACAGTAGTACCCTTTACACAGAATTATTTCCTAAGGCAGTGGCTTTCCAGATAACAAAATAAGCAAGTTTCCATTACACTCAGAATTTTAGAAGTAATTATATCTGATAACCATTAAAATTTATTCAAAGCTAATTTGTTTTTGTTTGTTTGTTTGTTTGTTTTTTGAGACCGAGTCTTGCTCTGTTGCCAGGCTGGAGTGCAGTGGTGCAATCTTGGCTCACTGCAACCTCTGCCTCCTGGGTTCAAGCTATTCTTCTGCCTCAGCCTCCCTAGTAGCTGGGACCACAGGCGTGCGCCACCACACCCAGCTAATTTTCGTATTTTTAGTAGAGATAGGGTTTTACTGTGTTGGCTAGGATGGTCCCGATCTCTTGACCTCGTGATCCACCCACCTCAGCCTCCCAGAGTGCTGGGATTACAGGCATGAGCCACTGTGCCCAGCAGCTAATTTGTTTTTTAAGCTTACCTATCATTTACACTATGTATAAATTTCTAAAACCCTGGAGGAAGTATTACATAATGACTTTTCTCTGTTTTATATGACACTGGTAATCACTGAAATAAAATACTTTTTATTTCTAGATTGATGAACACAGGATATGTGTGTGTGTAAGAAAACGACCACTCAATAAAAAAGGTATGGCACTTAATGAGCTCTAATAAAAAATTGCTTTTATCTGATTTGTAATGTATTTTTATAATAGCAAATCAAATTGGTTTGGAAAAATGTAAATTATTTCATTTGTATGTAACCATTATGCAGATTTCTATGGCTAAACTTGTTGGTTTGTTACTGCTCTGAATCATTGCCGTTCCAAGTCATGCTTCACAGAAATCTTGATGTTGTTTTTACTTTGCTGTTGAAATATTTTGTCATAGTGAGTTGCATATTTATGGGATATTATCTTTATATGTACAGAACTTGCTACTTGTATCTTAATTCTTACTACTTAAAATAATTTTTGTACATGAACTCAAATGCTGTGAAAATTATTGGGCATTGATTTTTGTTTATTTTTTTAGAAACTCAAATGAAAGATCTTGATGTAATCACAATTCCTAGTAAAGATGTTGTGATGGTACATGAACCAAAACAAAAAGTAGATTTAACAAGGTACCTAGAAAACCAAACATTTCGTTTTGATTATGCCTTTGATGACTCAGCTCCTAATGAAATGGTTTACAGGTAGGTAAATTCATTTTAAATCAGAATTTTGTGCTTATGTCATGTGGTCATCAACACCTTGAAATTTACATTGATTGTGGGATGTTTCTTCAGAAGTGCAATATGCTTTTTTATTCTGAGTTTAAAGAGAGAATGTAATAAATGCTGTAATGAATATTAACATTTGATCTCTTTAATGCTTCCCCAAATCATAGTTTTCATTGCTACTTGCTATTTAGCTTATTACATATATATGTAATATATGTATATTTGTTATATATTGATATATAAATATGTGATATTTGTATAATTTGTGTGAGATATATATATACACACATATATATACATGTGTGATAAAAATATATCACACGAATCATGTATATGGCTAAGAAATTTCTGGAAAGTGTTATAACCTCTAGGAGTAGGATGTGATCAGAAGAGGACTTTTAATTTTTACCTTTTAATCTCTGTAGTAGTAAAGAAACTTGAAATGCTGTTTGAGGCATGATCTTGCTCTGTTGCCCAGGCTGGAGTGCAGTGGCACGATCACAGCTCACTGCAGCCTGGACCTCCTGGGCTCAGGTGATCCATCTCAACCTTCTGAGTAGCGGAGACCACAGGCAGGCACCACCACACCCAGCTAATTTTTGTACTTTTTATAGAGTTGAGGTTTCCCCATATTGTCCAAGCTGACCTCAGACGCCTGAGCTCAAGCAATCTACCCGCCTTAGCCTCCAAAAGTGCTGGGATTACAGGCATGAGCCACTATTATGCCTGGCCAAAATATATGTTATCAGTAAATTATTAATTTGCCTAAATCTGTATTTAGTATGTATTGTCACTTCTGGCAAAAAAAGTTATAAAAGTCTACTTGCATTTAAATTTGTCATATTTAAGCTTGGAGATAGTTTTAGTACATTAGATTCTTCTGTGTTTTTTGTATTCAACTTACAAAGAATTCAATTTACATATATTATACATTGGTATAAAAATCCCAAATTTTTATGCCAGATTTAGATTTTCATACATAAGTTTGCAAACAATCATTTGTAATAATTATAACATCAGTTTTAGCAGAATTGTTATTTTGGTTTATCTAGGAATAGAACTGTCTTTGTAATTGCTTGAATGCTATGTCTAGTTGCCCTTTTTCATAAAAATGCCTAGAAGGGAGAAAATTAGAGTTAATAAGACTAAGAATTGAAGGTATATTACAAATGAAATACTTTTGAAATCAACTCCTTTGTCTTCACCAAGTAAACTGGGTAGTCAGTTGTAATTTTAAAAAAAGGGTGAAGGGCCGGGCACGGTGGCTCAAGCCTGTAATCCCAGCACTTTGGGAGGCCGAGGCGGGTGGATCACGAGGTCAAGAGATCGAGACCATCCTGGTCAACATGGTGAAACCCCGTCTCTACTAAAAATACAAAAAATTAGCTGGGCATGGTGGTGCGTGCCTGTAATCCCAGCTCCTCAGGAGGCTGAGGCAGGAGAATTGCCTGAACCCAGGAGGCGGAGGTTGCGGTGAGCCGAGATCGCGCCATTGCACTCCAGCCTGGGTAACAAGAGCGAGACTCCGTCTCAAAAAAAAAAAAAAAAAAGGGTGAAATTAAAGAACATATGAATGCTAGGTAGAGAGATTTGTGAAGAATGTGTTTAAAGGGGAGTCTTAATTGTTTATTGTAGAATTTTTTTTTTTAGCTTTCTGAAGAATCCTCATTCCTCTTCATTCCCTCTTTCTACTCCTGCCTCATTAAATATAAGTTTGACTTTTATAATAGTTTTTAAGAAATAATCACAGATACAGGCTTCTTTCTGTGTGTATGATTTAGTAAACATTGTGTTTTCACCCTGTATTTATGCTGCTTAACTTTATCAATGTTTATCCTTCTCTGTCTCTTATATTTAACTATTATGGATTGAGGAGTTACATGTTTTTTGTAGGGGAAGGTTGAGAGGTGGAGGCTTGATCTAACTACTTAGCAGGCTAATCTCTAGTTCTGTTTGAACAGAACTTTTTTCTCTTCTTGTTATTCTATACTTCTTCAGCTTTGCCTTTTAGAAAACAAAACAAAGATAGCAGTTATATAAAATGTTCTACTTGTAGATCTGTTTTCCATCATACCCTTTTTTTTTTCTTTTGAGAGTTAAGTTCTTGTTGCCCAAGCTGGAGTTCAATGGCTTGATCTCCAATCACCGAAACCTCTGCCTCCCAGGTTCAAGCGACTCTCCTGCTTCAGCCTCCCGAGTAGCTGGGATTACAGGCGTGTGCCACCACGCTCAGCTAATTTTGTATTTTTAGTAGAGATAAGGTTTTACCATGTTGGTCAGGCGGGAACTCCTGACCTCAAGTGACCCACCCACCTCAGTCTCCTGAAGTGCTGGGATTACAAGTGTGAGCCACCCAGCCTTCATCATACTTTTTAGTGCTCTGCTCAGTGAAAAAGTGCTTCTTACCCCTTCCCACCTTTTTATTTTAACTCTAGCAGTGAGTTATACCAATATGTTTAAAATATAATTCAAACCATAATATTTAGGTGTATCCTTTTCCTAAATTGAGACTGTCAACTTATTAATAGAATTCAATGTCCTATAAGCACAACTTAATATTTTTTTCCTTAAATACAAATTATTTGTCTACAGTCAAGGTAGTCATCATTTTTCTACTTATTTAGATGGTCTAATAAGTTTTTTTCTCTATTAACTTTTTTAAACCACTCTTGTTTATTCTGTTTCTGTTGAAATTATATTTTTTGTTTGTTTTTATTGTATATGCCTTATTGTCACCATTGTTTATTACAGAAATGTTGCTTAAAATATTTTGTATTGTTCAGCATTACTTTTATTCATCTAAATATTGGTGACATATTCTGACTGATGCATTTTATTTTTAAGGTTTACTGCTCGACCACTAGTGGAAACTATATTTGAAAGAGGAATGGCTACATGCTTTGCTTATGGGCAGACTGGAAGTGGAAAAACTCATGTAAGTAATTTATAAAAATTATATACTGATACGAAGCTACAGTTTCTTTTCCCTATTGTTTAATTCTGAGACCTAAATTCTTAAGAGTTATTCCTGAGTAATGTCTGTAATTTATATATTTTTTTAAATACAGACTATGGGTGGTGACTTTTCAGGAAAGAACCAAGATTGTTCAAAAGGAATTTATGCATTAGCAGGTAACTGTCTTTTTTCATATAATTTGGAATATTATTCTTAGGTAATATTCAGGTAGCTTTGAAATAAGGCTTTAAAATATTGCCCAACAACTATAGTGCTGTACCAACTATCGATTAAAGGTTATTAGATTGCTTGAAAAGAACTGTAAGATTATATTCACAGGATTAAAAAAAAAAAAAAAAAAAGCACTGTAGGCTGGGCACAGTGGCTCACACCTGTAATTCCTGCACTTTGGAAGGCCAACGTGGGTGAATCACTTGAGGTCAGAAGTTCAATAACAGCCTGGCCAACGTGGAGAAAATACAAAAAAATACACACAAAAAATTAGCTGGGTGTGGTAGTGGGTGCTTGTAATCCCAGCTACTGGGAGGCTGAGGCAGAATAATCATTTGAACCCAGAAAGCAGAGGTTACAATGAGCCAAGATCACACCACTGCACTCCAGCCTGGGCAAGAGTGTAAGACTCTGTCTCAAAAAAAAACAAAAACAAAAAAAAAACTGTTCGGGTGTGATGGCTCACACCTGCAATCCTAGTATTTTGGGAGGCCAAGGTGGGTGGATCACAAGGTCCAGAGTTCAAGACCAGCCTGGCCAATATGGTGAAACCCCATCTCTACTAAAAATACAAAAATTAGCTGGGTGTAGTGGCACACACCTGCAGTCCCAGCTACTCAGGAAGCTGAGGCAGGAGAATCACTTGAACCTGGGAGGCAGAGGTTGCAGTGAGCTGAGATTGCGCCACTGCACTCCTACCTGGGCAACAGAGCAAGACTGTCTCAAAAAAAAAAAAAAGTACTGTAAGATTGATTTTGAGGGGGCAGAAATCTTGATTATATTTATCAGTGTATTCTAGCACATTGTTGGAGATTAGTATGAATTGTTGAATTTCTGAATTTTAAAAAGCTACTAGGTATGGTATGAGAATAACCTCATATGTCCACCTGTAATTTTATGCTATTTATACATCTAAATATATATATATGTATGTAGCACCCTTTTATGGAATGTGACAGAGAGTAGCTTCTATTAATACTATTTTTTTGTAAAATTAGTATTCACTTTAGTTCTCATTTTTATTATTGATACTATCATCCTAGGTAAAGATTAACTGATTCTTCTAGAAATAGAAAATTTGATTTCCTTTTTAAAATATTTGTTGCATCTCAGTTTTCTGTATTTGAAATTCTTGACAGCTCGAGATGTCTTTTTAATGCTGAAAAAGCCAAACTATAAGAAGCTAGAACTTCAAGTATATGCAACCTTCTTTGAAATTTATAGTGGAAAGGTAAGTGGGAACTTTTGTAATTTTTCAAATTGTGGCACTATATATATATATAAAATAAAATTTTCAATTTTAACCATTTTTAAGTTCAGCAGCATTAAATACACACATTGTTGTGCAGCCTTTACCACCATAATTTATGTGTATTTAGAACTTTTTTTTTTTTTTTTTTTTTTTTGAGATGGAGTCTCGCTTTGTCACCCAGGCTGGAGTGCAATGGCACGATCTCGGCTCACTGCAGCCTCCATCTCCTGGGTTCAAGTGATTCTCCTGCCTCCAGCCTCCCAAGCAGCTGGCACTATAGGCACCTGTCACCATGCCTGGCTAATTTCTTTTTTTTTTTTTTTGTATTTTTAGTAGAGATGGGGTTTCACCATATTGGCTAGGCTGGTCTTGAACTCTTGACCTTGTGATCCACCCGCCTCGGCCTCCCAAAGAGCTGGGATTACAGGCGTGAGCCACTGCACCCAGCCAGAACTTTTATATTAGAATTTTTGTTATGAGATTGTTAAAATATGTCCTTTGAAACTTTTCAACTTCAAGGTTGAGAATTCTTACTCTAATTATTATTTTAATCTCTGAAATAATTTTTAAACTCTGGGTGACTCATTTTTATAGAACTAATATTTTAATTGCCACGGGATCTTGTGCTGTAACCCATGCTGGAGCTCAGTCTCCTGAGCTCAAGTGAGCTTCCTTCCTCAGCCTTCCTAGTACCTGCTACTATAGGCATGCACCACCAGGTCCAGCTAATTTTTTTTTTTTTTTTTTTTTTTTTTTTTTAACATCGGCAAGGTTTCACTATGTCGTCTAGGCCAATTTTGAACTCCTGAGCTCAAGCCATCCTCCCGTCTCAGCCTCCCAAAATGCTGGGATTAGAGGTGTGAGCCACTGTGCCTAGCCTCTTTTTACTTTAAAGCTAGTTTTCTAATTTGAATATTATTTTTCATAGGTGTTTGACTTACTAAATAGGAAAACAAAATTAAGAGTTCTAGAAGATGGAAAACAGCAGGTTCAAGTTGTGGGATTACAGGAGCGGGAGGTCAAATGTGTTGAAGATGTGCTGAAACTCATTGACATAGGCAACAGTTGCAGGTAAATCTCATTTTGATTAAGAAAGGAAACTTCAGTTTTAGAAACTTTGGTTGTAGCGTAACAAACAAAGATGTTATCTGTCAATACATCTTGGAAGTAAAAACCGTTGTTCATAAAAACTTTTGTAACATGTAAATGTGAGTGACAATTATATTGATACTATATTACAAATATATTAAAAATATGCCAGATTAAATTGTATGAATCTGGTTCTATTTCAGTGTTATAACTCAAGTGTCTCATCTGTATTTGAAAGATGAAAACTAACTAAATAGGAGTTTGTTGATGCTGTTGTTTTAATGAAAATAATGTGGGTTGAACATGTAAATTGAAGTTTTTAATGTATCAAGTTTTCCTTAATCACGTTGTAGAACCTCTGGTCAAACATCTGCAAATGCACATTCATCTCGGAGCCATGCAGTGTTTCAGATTATTCTTAGAAGGAAAGGAAAACTACATGGCAAATTTTCTCTCATTGATTTGGCTGGAAATGAAAGAGGAGCTGATACTTCCAGTGCGGACAGGCAAACTAGGCTTGAAGGTGCTGAAATTAATAAAAGCCTTTTAGCACTCAAGGTAAATAAAATGTATTTAATCATGAAAGGTCTTTTGCTTTTGATTTTAATTTTCTTTACAAAGTTGCCAAATAATAGTACTTGTTTTACCTAGTAAAAAGAGAGGTTTTCAAAATTCAGATGCTTATAACTTACAGTGTGATTTTATCATACCCAGAATTTTTCCTTGCATACATTTTTTATTCTTTTTAGACAGGATAAAAGGATATGTGAGTTGGTAGGTCAGTTCTGAGGCTACATAGGTAGACTCCAAAGGGTCTTAATTAGTCATATTTTCTAGGAGGAGGGCAACGAACCACTGAATTAAGCTAAGAAATAGTTTCTCAGAAAAACGTGGAATGGCTTTCAAAAAGTTAGGCCAGGTTATTACATCTTTTCCTTGAGTAGAAAAGCAAAGGCTGGAAAGACTATAATAAAGCATCTGTGTTTTTTTCTTTGGAGTGCCATGTTAAGAAATAAATTTTTTACAGTTATCCTACATAGTTTCTAGAAATATGTCTTGGAAGAATAAAGTAGTTTTTTTTGTTGTCATTTTTTTTCTTGAATTAGTATTTATTGGAATATCTACACTATGCTTTAAAACTGTTGGCTGTACTCGGTGGCTCACGCCTATAATCCCAGCACTTTGGGAGGCTGAGGTGGGTGGATAGCCTGAGGTCAGGAGTTCGAAACCAGCCTGGCCAACATGGTGAAACCCCATCTCTACTAAAAATACAAGCCAGGTATGGTAGTGGGCACCTGTAATCCCAGTTACTTGGGAGGCTGAGGCAGGAGAATCGCTTGAACCCAGGAGGTGGAGGTTGCAGTGAGCTCATATTGCACCACTGCACTCTAGCCTGGGTGACAGAGTGAGACTTCATCTCAAAAAACAAAACAAAACAAAACAAAAACTGTTAGTAGAATGTTCACAGCTGATCAGACCTTAAATGTTAAAATCATAGTGAGAGACCTTTTAAAATACATTAATTAAGATTACCGTTTATAAGAAAAACTAATCTGTGAGACTTGGTTTCTTAATTTTCAGGAGTGCATCAGAGCCTTAGGTAGAAATAAACCTCATACTCCTTTCCGTGCAAGTAAACTCACTCAGGTGTTAAGAGATTCTTTCATAGGTGAAAACTCTCGTACCTGCATGGTAAGTTTATGTTTATTTTTTATTTATTTTAATCCTGAAGGAATAAATACATAATATTTATGGAAAATGTATATGTTAATGACAGTCATTTGAATCCCTCTATTATGAGTGATACAGTGATATTTAAGATGTGGTCCCTGCCAGTCTGATAGAGAGGATGTGTGTTATGAATGAATGTAGAGACTAGATTCTGTTATGTTCTTCTGAAGATTACCTAAACTCTTATCTCTCCTGGACAATAGCTGGGATTGAAAGCTTTGTTTTGTCCTTCTAGACTTAGCTATGTTGCCTATAGTGTGCCTTGTGTATGTCTAGGTCAGGAATCAGCTAGGGATTTGGGCAGTTTATATGTAAAAGTTTGTCCCGAAAGGAGAGTACCACACTCTCTGTAGCACATGCCCTTCTGGGAGAAACTTCACTTTTCAGCTGCTGTGATCTTCACTCCCATAGTATATCCTTTAATTTTTTAACCAGAGAGACTGCAAGTTTTCAATCAAGTTTTATTTGCCCTGTGTGACAGCAGCAGAGCTTGCCCTCTGTCAAAAAGCTGTCAAAAAAAAAAAAAAAAGTTGAGTGGAGTGGGGGTCAGTCAGTACTATTCCCTTCTAGGTGTTAACCTCCTCCATTTCTGCTCAGAGTTTGTATTTTAACAAGACTTTACTATCTGATTATAGATATAAGCAAACTATCTTGGAGTTGAGATATCATTAATAAGTCTTTATTTTTAAATAACCATGGTAAGATTAGACCTAAATGAGCTGTATGTCAGTATTATTGTCTTGGTCATTTTATAACATTTTTTTTACCTTTATGGTTTTTTTTTCCCCTGTAGATTGCCACAATCTCTCCAGGAATGGCATCCTGTGAAAATACTCTTAATACATTAAGATATGCAAACAGGTATGAGAGATGGTTCTTCATTTTGAAATTTGAGGGGAGTAAAGCAGTATGTAGTATAATTTAATATCTGATAGGGCAAATCTTACTACATTGTTCTTTCAATTTTCAAAAAAAAGTTTTGCATATTATTCCTTAAGATGATATGTAGAATCATTTTGTCAAATTCTAAAAATAAGTGGAAATATGTAATTTGGGAAGAGATTGATAATTTTAGTAAAATTGGTCTTTTTATCCTAGAGCAAGGTTTCCATTTCACTGTTTTATTTCCTAATACTTTACTGCATTTAAATCATGCAGATTCTTCCTACTACATTAAGACTCTGAAGTAAGTGAATATCAAGGGACCAATTTGTATTTCTTGAATTGTTTTGGTATATGTTGCAGATTATTCCTGATAATATTAAATGCTATGTATGGGGAATCTAGGATTTGAGTAAGAAGTAATAGCACAGTTCTTTCCAGTGTTCCTTTCTTTTTATTTATTTTATTTTATTATTTGAGACAGAATCTCGTTCTGTTACCCAGTCTGGAGCAAAGGGGCACGATATTGGCTCACTGCAACCTCTGCTTCCCAGGTTCAAGCAATTGTTATGCCTCAGCCTCCTGGGTGGCTGCGACCACAGGCATGTACCAACACTCATGGCTAATTTTTGTATTTTTAGTAGAGGTGGGATTTCATCATGTTGGCCAGGCTGGTCTTGAATTCCTGATTTCAGGTGATCCACCTGCCTCGGCTTCCCAAAGTGTTAGGATTATAGGTGTGAGCCACCTCGCCTAGTCCTTTCTGGTATTCTATATGGGTTGCATTTTGTTACTAATATTAATAGTCTTATAAACATAAATGGATAACTGAGTTATTACAGATAGAAAGACAGAATACATTATAGACTACTAAAGCAGTTTATTCTGTGTAGCCATGAAATGCCTTTGGAACTTTGAATCATAATGGGTATATTTATATTTGATCCATAGATTTTTTTTTAACACTGCTCTTGAGTAACTTTACCACTGCTCTTATTTTGAATGACTGTTTAGTGTTAAATTTCTCTTCTCTAATGTTACATTTGTCATTTTAACCTAGAGACAAAAGTCCTCTTTGTAATCCATGTCTAGTATAGCAGTTCTCTTAATTTTGCTGGACAAAAGTATCTGTCCTATTTCTTTTAATCACTGTGGAAATGTTATTTTCTTAATCGTTTATTAAAATGTAAAATACATATGCATATAGAAAAGTACCTAAAATATAAGTGAATAGTTAAATGGATAATGGATACTTATAAAATGAAAACTCCTGTCATTGGTTTGGGAAAGAGAGCATTATTGGCCCCCAAAAGGTTCCCCATGTGCTCCTTCCTGATCACAATCCTGAATAACATGCCTTATTTGTTTGTCTCTATCCTGACGTAACCCATGTCCTAACTTCTGTGGAATTCGTTTCTTGGTTGTTTATTTCGTTTTTTCTTTTTTAATAATTTTACTCTGGGTGCAGTGGCATGTGCCTATAGTCCCAGCTACTTGGGAGGCTGAGGTGGGAGGATTGCTTGAGCCCAGGAGTTCTGGGCTGTAGTGTGCCATGCCAATCAGGTGTCTGCACTAAGTTGGGCATCAGTATGGTGACCTCCCGGCAGCAGGGGACCACCAGGTTGCCTAAGGAGGGGTGAACTGGCCCAGGTCAGAAACGGAGCAGGTCAAAACTCCCGTGCTGATCAGTAGTGGGATTGCGCCTGTGAATAGCCACTGCAGTCCAGCCTGGGCAACATAGCAAGACCCCGTCTCTAAAAATAATAATAATTTTACTGCCTATGAATGTATCTCTGAGTAACATAGATAGCTGTATTTGAACATTACACAAATGCTATAACTCCCCATTTTTTTTGCATCTTGTTTCTTTTGTTTTAACTAAAGAGATTTTTTTTTTTTTTTTGAGACGGAGTTTCACTCTTGTTACCCAGGCTGGAGTGCAATGGTGTGATCTCGGCTCACCGCAACCTCCGCCTCCTGGGTTCAGGCAATTCTCCTGCCTCAACCTCCTCAATAGCTGGGATTACAGGCATGCGCCACCATGCCCAGCTAATGTTTTGTATTTTTAGTAGAGACGGGGTTTCACCATGTTGACCAGGATGGCCTCGATCTCTTGACCTCATGATCCACCCGCCTCGGCCTCCCAAAGTGCTGGGATTACAGGCTTGAGCCACCGCGCCCGGCCAGAGATTTTTTAATGGTAGTAAACACTGTTGGACAGTATAAACCTATTGAGCTTTTGTAAAAAGGTATTAAAATATAATCACTTCTTTAAAAATGTAATGGGTCAGGCATGGTGGCTTATGCCTTTAATCTCAGTGCTTTTGGTGGCTCAGGCAGGCGGATTGCTTGGGCCCAGAAATTTGAGGCCAGCATAGGCAACGTGGTGAAACCCCATCTCTACAGGAAATTTAAAAATTAGCCTGGCATGGTGGCACGCATCTGTAGTCCCAGCCACTCAGGGGGCTAAGGCAAGAGGATTGCTTCAACCAGGGATGTTGAGGCTACGGGGAGTTGTGATTGTACCACTGCACTCCAGCCTGGGCAATAGAGCAGACCTTGTCTTTTTAAAAAAAAAAAAAAGTAATAGGACATTTCTAAATATGAAATATTATATTTTCTAAATTTAATCTCTTTTAAAGTTTGAATTATGAGCTCCTAGCTGCAAATTCTTATTGTGTTAGTTTTAATTGATATTGGTAATTAACAATTTATATATGGGATTTTTATCATTAAAATGCTTATTTCAAAATTATTCATGAGAAAGGTGAGGAACAGCAGAGTGTAGTAGATTCTTGCCATGTTGTAGAATTAAAAGCCCTCTGTTTCTTAAGATTTGAGACTGCAAAAGATTCCTCCCTAATACTGTGAAAATGCTATATCTAGCTGTTCCTCTAGTTCACTTAGGTCTAAGTAAAATGTTTTAAACTACTATTATATCATGTAACTCACTTGCAACATGACTAACCATTTGGGACACTGTATTAATCCGTTCTCACACTGCTACAAGGGAATACCCGAGACTGGGTAATTATGAAGGTTTAATTAACTCACAGTTCAGCATGGCTGCAGAGGCCTCAGGAAACTTAGAGTTACCGTGGAAGGTGAAGGGGAAGCAAGGCACCTTCACAAGGTGGCAGGAAGGAGAAGAGCCAAGCAAAGTGGGGAAAAGCCTTCTATAAAACATTCAGATCTTGTGAGAACGCACTATCACGAGAACAGCATGGAGGAAATTGCCCCCCATGATTCAGTTGCCTCTACCTGGTCTCTCCCTTAACACATGGACATTATGGAAATTATAATTCAAGATGAGATTTGGGTGGAGACACAAAGCCTAACCATATCAGACATGTAATCTTTTTCAATTTTATTCCAAATCTCTTGGAATAAAGATTTTCAACCTCCCTTGATACCAATGTTTTATGACTTGAAGAGTCAATAACTTTTTTTTTTTTTTTTTTTTTTTTTTTTTTACAGCAAAGAATTTCTTTCTTTTATACTAAATCTGCCTTACTTTATTTAGGCCAATACTTGGAGGTGGCGGGTAGGTGGCATTACATTAAAATTTCCATTTTTTTTTTTTTAAGCAAATGATGAATGGTTTTGCTGTAAAAATTTCCATATTTTTAGGAAACTATTTCTCTTAAGTGTTTAAACTTTTTTTGTATTTAAGTCATAGCTCTTAGTAATTGAAGTGTTATTTCTTGGGATGAAATAGATTTAATACCTTCCTCACTACTTGATGGTAGCAAAGCCTCAGGAAAGTTACTAACCTCTCTGCCAAATTTCCTCATCTTTAGAATGGCAAGTTAATGACCATGTCCATCTTAAAGGATTGTTTTTGAGGAGGGACCTATGTCAAATGTTTAGCACAGTGCCTGAAATATATGAAGTGTATGAATTGTTATTGCTATGGCTACTTTAGTGAGCAGTTCTGTCTTAAAAATTCAGTTAGACAGATGTCAAAGCAGTGTTTTTTTTAAAATATCCTTATATTAGTCAAAATAATATACTTTGAAAGTTTTTTATGGGGATCATGGGATAGTTTGTTAACAGTTCACATTACTGGTAATAATTAAGTTGACAAGTCCAGTTGCAATCAGATGGCGATTAGAAACATTTATTTACTTACTTATGACAGAGTCTTGCTGTGTCACCCAGGCTAGAGTGCAGTGGCGTGATCTCGGCTCACTGCAGCCTCTGACTCCATGGTTCAGGCGATTCTCCTGACTCAGCCTCCCGAATAGCTGGGATTACAGGAACCTGTCACCATGCCCAGCTAATTTTTTTGTATTTTTAGTAGACACAGAGTTTCGCCATGTTGACCAGGCTGGTCTCAAACTCCTGACCTTAAGTGATCTGCCTGCCTTGGCCACCCAAAGTGCTGGGATTACAGGCGTGAGCCACTACACCCAGCCAGGCAATTAAAGGTATTTTAGAGGAGCATTCAGGGGAAAACTTTGAGAGTAGAAGGAATGGTTGTCCCAAGGAAAAAAAAATTATAGAATATATGAGAAACAGACAGTGGTCTCTATCCTGTAGCGGAGATACTTAATCTTTGGGTAATGAAAGACGTTACAGTGATTGGGTCTTGGGTAGAAGAATGATTAAAGTGGTTAGGAGCTTTTAGTAACATTTGAAGAATATGATTCTTGTATGTGGTATAGTTTGGCTTGGGCAAGACAGCTTTGGATAGAGAAAAAAATGTGTAGATGAAGCTAATAGGGTGTCTAAATTAAAATACTTAGATAAGAAATGGGGTGGGAGTGAAAATAGTTGTTAGTATTAGAAATTTGGATTTTTCAGGCCAGACACAGTAGTTTATGCCTGTAATCCCAATACTTTGGGAGGCCAAGGCAGGAGGATCATTTGAGTTTATGAGTTTGAGACCAGCCTGAGCAACATAATAAGAACCCATCTCTACAAAAAATAAAAAAATAGCTGGGGGTGGTGGCATGCCACTGGTAGTTCCAGCTGAGGTTAAGGTAAAGGCTGAGGTGGGAGGATCACTTGACCCCAGGAGGTCAAGGCTGTAGCGAGCCGTGATTGAGCCACTGCAGTATAGCCTGGGTGATAACAGTGAGACCTTAGCTCAAAAAGAAAGGCCGAGCGCAGTGTCTCATGCCTGTAATCCTAGCACTTTAGGAGGCTGAGGCGGGCAGATCACAAGGTCAAGAGATCAAGACCATCCTGGCCAACATGGTGAAACCCCATCTCTATTAAAAATACAAAAATTAGCTGGACATGGTGGTGCATGCCTGTAGTCCCGGCTACTCAGGAGGCTGAGGCAGGAGAATAGCTTGAACCCAGGAGGCGGAGGTTGCAGTGAGCCGAGATTGTGCCATTGAACTCTCGCCTGGTGACAGAGCAAGACTGCATCTCAAAAAAAACCCAGAAAAAAAAAAAAGATATTTGGATTTTTCAACATGTATGGTAAATAAACTTTGAAGGATAAAGGGCAGATGAATCCAATATTGAACCTTTGACAGTAGCTATTACCAATAGCTTAGAGAAATACTGTCAGTAGAGGAAATATATTAGTTTGATTTATATGAAGATACTGATGTTTGTTTTTGACCTATAAAGAAGGGAATTTCATTTAGTTCGACCTAAGAGAAATCACAAGAAAATAAAGAATATGGTTATTATATTGAAGTGTTTAAATAACATAGAATTTGTACTCGGGGCTAGTTTTTAACCTCAGTTATGCCACATTCTCAGTGAATGACCTTAGATAGGATACCTTATTTTTGAGAATAAAAAATGTTTCTCATCTATCAAAGATTGTTGAAGGATGAAATAATATAATGCCTAAAAATTACTAATCCTAATACTTGACATATAGGAAGTACTTAATAAATATTTTATATTGGTATGTAATAGGGTTGGCCCAAAGGACATGAATTATATAGATGGGGTGAGAAAAGTCATAATTTGGTTAAATATAACTATTAAAGATGTTAGCAAAAGCAATTTTAAATTTCATTGCTAAAGGCTGTACTCAACCAGAGTTCTTCATCTGAATCACCAACCACTGAAAATAGAGTGAATATTTTCTCATTTACACCAAAAATATTTCATAGCCAGTGCCATTCTGGCTATGAAATATTCCTATGCATCATAGGAAAGAAGTTATTTCATTATAAACAATGGATGGCTTAAGGCATTAGGACTTAATTGCCTTGTGTCCTGTTTGAAAAAGACTGCAAAAATGTCAAAGACTCGTGAATGCCAATAAACAAATAGTCCTGGTACTGACCATATGAGGAAATTAGATTGAGTGGTCATGTAGTTAAAGGGGCATTTCAGATTTAGGTGATTTAGTTAAATGTCTAGGAAGGATTATGAGAAAAGAGGAAAATAGACCAGAAAGGAAAGATTAAGGATTATAGAGCAGGGGATTAATAGAACAAACATTCAAACATGTCTTAAAATGTGTTATTTGTAAAATAATACTCTAAATACATTGTCACAACAATATCGATATTCTTTTCTAAACAAAAGTGAATACTAAATGAAAATGTGCAATGTGCATTGCTGTCTTTACAAGAGCATTTTCTTTTAATTTGTTGCTGTTTTGGTGCTGCAGAGTAAAGGAGTTTGGAATTAGTCCATCAGACATTCCCTTCTCACAGGGTAGTGGCAGTCGCCCTGATCTCTCTCCTTCTTATGAATATGACGACTTTTCTCCTTCAATTACCAGGTCTACTTCATTCTATAAATAAGATGTTTATTTTAATAGTTTCTTTTGAATTGTGCTTTGTATAAACATTTCATTTGCTATTTTTGTCCTGAGCCATTTTAGTTTTCATTTTCATTTCATTTGGCAGGTGGTGGTTGTACTGCATGATCTGCATTCTTATGTCCTTTATTAATCTATTTGCTTTAAAATGTTGATTTAGAATTTAGGCTTCCTATTTCTCCCTCATATTTTTAAGGATGATGTCACTTTTGCGTACTTACCACTAAAAGATAAATTGTTAAAAGATAAATTATCTTGCTTAAAATGAAGACTTGGCTTTTATTCTGTATGATCTTACAAGTTTCTGGGTCTGCAAGGAGCCTCTTGACATAGGAAGTTTACACTCTCTTGGCCAGACATGATGGCTCATGCCTGTAATCCCAGCACTTTTGGGAGGCAGAGGCTGGTGGATCACCTGAGGTTGAGAGTTTGAGACCAGGCTGGCCAATGTGGTTAAAAACCTGTCTCTACTTTAAAAAAAAAAAAAATGGTTTTTTGTTTTTTGTTTTTTTTAAAAAAAAGAAAAGAAAGTTTACCCTCTCCCAAATGTGTAAGTTTAAGTATAATGAGTAAACACTTGGAAAATGATAAAACTTAAAATTTTATAATCTTTATACATTACAAATAAAATTATTTTACATGTAACTATTTTAATTGAGCATGATAACTACCAGAAATCTGCAGGTTTTTTGTTTTGTTTTGTTTCAGCAGTGATCCATTTATTGGTCTAATTGCTATTGTTTATATTTTTCTGTTTATATAATTTAATTGCAATAACATCAACTTTGATGAGCCAGTAGTAAAAAAAATTGAAAATTAAAAAAGCTTTTAATTGCAACAAGTTTTTTCTTTGAATACTGAATCTATATACTTTGTTAGCTCTCGTTTAGTTTGCACAGTAATTATATTTGATATAATTAATCAATATAATATGAATTACATAAAGTTGCCTAAGCAGATTTCCTAAAATTAAACAACCATTTATGTGTTTCTACAGATTTCTGATAAATTTTACCTATAAAGGTGACATCATCAATCTTAGTATGTTAAACTGAATTGTGTGTATATTGGATAGGTTGGTATTTTCTTGTTCCTCTGCATGAGTGTTTTTAACTTTGATAGCTCTTATGTATTTATAGGGTGAAAGAATTGACTGTAGATCCAACTGCTGCTGGTGATGTTCGTCCAATAATGCACCATCCACCAAACCAGATTGATGACTTAGAGACACAGTGGGGTGTGGGGAGTTCCCCTCAGAGAGATGATCTAAAACTTCTTTGTGAACAAAATGTGAGTGACTTACTATAATTGTAAAGATATAATCATAGTTCATTTCATCAATAGCAGAATTTAACTGAAAACTATCATTTAAATGAGGAGTCAGGCTGTGGGTGTGGTGGCCCAAGCCTATAATCCCTCCAATTTGGGAGGCTGAGGTGGGAGGACTGCTTGAGGCCAGGAGTTCAAGACCAGCCTAAACAATTTCATGAGACCCTTTCTCTACAAAAAATTTTAAAATCAGCCAGGTGTGGTGGTATGCACCTGTAGTTCTAGCTACTAGGCAGGCTAAGGCAGGAGGATTGCCTGAACAGAGGAATTCTGGGCTGCAGTGGGCTGTCATAGCATCACTGCACTCTAGACTAGGTGACAGAGCAAGGCCTCGTCTCTTAAAATAAATGAATAAATAAGCTAGGGGTCAGTAAACTACAGCCTATGGGCCAGCCATCTGTTTTTACAAATAAATTTTATTGGAACATATCCATGCTTACTCTCTTAAGGCTTGTCTGGCTGCTTTCTTACCGTAACAGCAGTACAGAGACTGTGGCTTACAAACCCAAAACATGTATTACCTGGCCCTTTAAAGAAGTTTCCAGCCCCCAATCTAAACTATTTATTTTTTTTCCCCTCAGATTTTTGTCTGATATTATAATTTGGGAAATTTTTAAAGTAATATAGGGAAAAACAACATTTAAAATTATACATATAATAAATATCTTATTAAAAAGCTTAAAAACAAGCTGGGCATGGTGGCTTATGCCTGTAATCCCAGCACTTTGGAAGGCCAAGGTGGGTAGATCACTTGAGGTCAGGAGTTCAAGACTAGTCTGGCCAATGTGGTGAAACCCTGTCTCTGCTAACAATATAACAATTAGCCTACTATGGTGGCATGTGCCTGTAGTCCCAGCTACTCAGGAGGCTGAGACACAAGAATCGTTTGAACCTGGGAGGCAGAAGTTGCAATGAGCCAAGATATTGCTGCTGCAGTCCAGTCTGGGCAACAGAGTGAGACTCCATCCCCCCACCACTCCCCCCCAAAAAAGGCTTAAAAACAAAAGAACCGTGAACATATGCATCTTTTTTTTTTTTTTTTTTTTTTTTGAGATGGAATCTCACTCTGTCGCCCAGGCTGGAGTGGAGTGGTATGATCTCAGCTCACTGCAACCTCCACTTCCACCTCTCAGGTTCAAGCAATTCTCCTGCTTAAGCCTTCCAAGTTGCTGGGATACAGACGCACGCCATCATGCCTGGCCAATTTTTGTATTTTTAGTAGAGACGGGGTTTCACCATGTTGGCCAAGATTGTCTCAATCTCTTGACCTCATGATCTGCCTGCCTTGGCCTCCCAAAGTGCTAGGATTACAGGCGTGAGCCACCATGCCCGGCCATGCATCTATATTGAAAGAATGCATGCACTGTATTAAAATCAAACAGCAAAATGCTAACATTTGTTAAATCTGGTTGCTTTTCTATATGATTGAAATTTTTAATAATACTTTATAATTTAAATTTTTGATTCCCCAATTACTAAAAAAAATAAAATACATGCAATACATGCCCATTGTATAAGGACAGAAAGAATAAAGGAATAAAAAGTTATATATAATACATTGTCACATAATTGCTTTTAATGTATTCAGAGTGTTCTGTGTGTGAGATGTAAAGGTGTGTTTTTAAAATGCATATTCTGGGCCGGGCACAGTGGCTCACGCCTGTAATCCCGGCACTTTGGGAAGCCGAGGCGGGCGGATCATGAGGTAAAGAGATCAAGACCATCCTGGCCAACATGGTGAAACCCCGTCTGTACTAAAAAAATACAAAAATTAGTTGGGTGTGGTGGCGCGTGCCTGTAGTCCCAGCTACTCGGGAGGCTGAGGCAGGAGAATAGCTTGAACCCAGGAGGTGGAGATTGCAGTGAGCCAAGATCGCACCACTGCACTCCAGCCTGGTGACAGAGCGAGACTCTGTCTAAAAAAAAAAAAAAAATGCATATTCTATGCAGTTTTGTTTCATTCTGTTCCCACTAAGTCTTATCATGGCATTTTCTCACGTTATAAGTTAGCATTGATTAGTTGCTTACTACATGACATACATTGCTAAGCGTTTTATTTATTATCTGATCTCATCACAACTCAGTGTAGTAGGTACTATAATTACCCCTACTTTATAACTGATATTCCAAGGTTTAAATAATTTGACCAAGATTTTGTAAGTAGTAAGTACTGAAGCCAGGATTGAAACTCAGATCTTTCTTATTCCAGCACCAAACCTTGTATCAATTAAACTGATTGCTACCTGCAATACAGTATTCTTTGAAAACAACATACCTTTAGTTAGTTCTAATACTTTGTAGCAGACATTTAGTCCAAAATATTCTAGAGTAACAAATACACATACTACTGTTTGTTACCGTGTTCCAAATCACTATTACTAAAGCAGAACTTAAAGCAGTGGTTCTTAACTAGGAATAGTTTGGACCCCCAAGGCAAAATGTATGGACATTTTTGGTTGTCACCAGTGAGGTGATGCTGCTAGCATACCTCAGTGGGTAGAGCCAGGAATGCTGCTAAACATCATACAGTGCACAGGACTGTCCTTCTCACATTACCCCACACAATGTCAGTAGTTCCAAGACTGGGAAAACCTAGTTCAAAGTAATAGTTCTAAACTTTGAACCATAGAAACTAAAAATGAGATCCTGGTCTCAGTCCATCACTTGTGTCCAGAATTTTTAAGAGAGACTGTAGTTGCTTTTAGATTCTTTAAAGCAAACCCTGCATTGCATCTATATGTTACCTGTCCAAAAGATGTGGAAAACCAGAGCAAGATAAGCACTCCCTATAGCATATCTTTCCATTTTATTCTTGCATCCGATGGGCCTCTGTAGAGCCTTAATTTGGAGAGGTTAGTTAGGCGACCAGAACTAATCCAGGGGAGTATGGCATCATGAGTTTTTGCAGCCTCCATGTTTGAGAGAGTGTGCATTTCTATCACCTTTGCCACCTCTGGGGCATTATCTTGTGATGACTCAGCATTAGCCTTTAGTTAGGTATTGGTGCATATGTACATATTCTTATTGCTATATTGTCTTAACAAAGTAAATGAAAATGGAACAGCATCTAAGACATGCTCTAGAGATCAGAGTTTTTTTGGTTTTATTTTGAGATAGTATCTCACTCTGTCCACCAGGCTGGAGTGTGTGGTGGCACAATCTTGACTCACTGCAACCCCCCCTCAAGCGTTCAAATGATTCTCCTGTGTCAGCCTCCCAAGTACCTGGGATTACAGGCGCACACCACCATGCCCAGCTAATTTTTTGTATTTTTAGTAGAGATCAGGTTTCACCATGATGGCCAAGCTGGTTTCAAAGTCCTGACCTCAAGTGATCCACCTGTCTCGGCCTCCCAACGTGTTAGGATTACAGGCGTGGGCCAACACACCCAGCCAAAGTTGTTTTTTTTTTTTTTTTGTTTGTTTTTTTTTTTTTTTTTTAATCATTATCTGAACATGGCCTGGGATCAGAGATGTTTTGACTTGCTGTAGGACAAAAATATGAATGTATTGTATGTATTTGTTCCTCAGTTATACGGAGAATCGTTTCCAGGACTGCCTGAATATACCCAAATTGCACATACTCAAGTTCCACTGTTGGCCCCGTGGAACCTGCAAACATGAAAAGTTGGGCCTCTGAATATGAAGATTTCACAGATCTCAAATACTGTATTTTCAATCTGCATTGGTTGAAAGCCAGATATAAGTGGACCAGCAGTGTTCAAACCTGTATTGTTCTAGAGTCAACTATATCTGTTTTTTGTTGATGAAGTAAAATTGTGAATTGTCCATTGAAATTTCTGTAAAAACTGGTAGATATACATCATCTAAAGATGTTATCTTCATATCTCTTTTAAAAAAGGAAACTTAAGATACACATGTAAATTAAATTGTTAGTGAAAAGTAGGCAATACTAAGGAAATTTTTCAGTACATTTACAGCCTGCAATAAAAGTATTTTTGAAAAGTTGGGCTGTTCCAAAAGAGAGCACTCTTTTAGGGTAGTTCAGCAATAAACCTTGGGCTAAGTGAAAATTATTCCCTACTCATCTGATTGAGTTGTCTTGTTGAGAATTGCATATTTTTACCCAAAGAAATAAATTGTGGTTTTGCCTTTCATATATATTTTAGTAGCCTTCACCATTCAAGTCTCTTCAATTTCTAAATGACATTTTTGTAAATGATACTGAAAAACTACTTTTATAACATTGAAAATACACACTGTATCATAATTTCTTAACTATTTTTATTTTAAGGAAGAAGAAGTTTCTCCACAACTGTTTACTTTCCATGAAGCTGTCTCACAAATGGTAGAAATGGAAGAGCAAGTTGTAGAAGATCACAGGGCAGTGTTCCAGGTAAAGTAAGACAGGACTTTTCATCAAAATATTTCTTGATACATGAAGAATTTTCGTAATTCCTTAAATATCACATTATTCTTTTAAAAAATACGTATTTATGTATTTGTATATGTGTATGTGTATTTATAAGGCATATGGCATGACAGATTTTGAATACAATGAATAATGGCTACAAATAACATTTCTTTGCACCATGGTGAAAGATTCTACTTTATTTACCTCTCATCCTCCTTATTGGTTTTTGTCATTTGTCCATTTTTAGAGAAGAGTTGCACTTCTGCCCACCAGTACTTCTTTCTAAATGTTAGGCCAATTTATTTGATAGCAGTTAAGAAAAACTCTTATGAAGGGTTTTGGAGCAGTTGAGGAAGTATCAGTTGTTGTAGAAAAGATAGACTACTTCATGAGATGGAGAGTTACTGCTCTGAGCTGTCAGTGGCAAGTTGAGTGAAGGGTGTTATGTCACCACTCTTTGGCAGTAACTCCTTAGGCATTCAACCTGTTAAAAGTACTTAGTATATGATACTCTGCTCCCCTTTTTTTTAAACAAGACAATGTCCTATCATCGTGATGTTTGAGGAAGTGAAGATATCATTTGTTGTACATCTTTATGAACACTATACAGTTGACTTGCTTTGCACTCTGCTGCCCCCACCCTCCTGAAGTACTATGAACACTTCCTGAGAAAAAAGCAATAACTGTCTCCCTTACTGACCTGTATTTTTTCTTTGACGTTGAAAAAATCTTTGTCACTAACCAAAGGAACTTCAGCTCTAGAACATTCAAGAACCTGGATAAAGGGCTCAAAAATGACAGAGAACACTTTCTGTCAGATTAGGATACACATTCATTAAAACTATTAGAGTTTGGCCAGGTGCAGAGGCTCATGCCTATAATCCTAGCACTTTGGGAGGCTGAGGCTGGTGTATCATTTGAGCCCAGGAGTTTAATACCAGCCTGGGCAACATGCTGAAACCCTGTCTCTACAAAAAAATATAAAAATTATCTGGCCATGATAGAGCACACCTGTAGTCCCAGCTACTTAGGAGGCTAAGGTAGGAGGATTCCTTGAATCCAGAAGGCAGAAGTTGCAGTGAGCTGAGATCGCACCACTGCACTCCAACCTGGGCAGCAGAGTGAGACCCTGTCTCAAAAACCAAAAACTCTAGAGTTTTAGTCAAATTCTTATTATGAGAATTTCTCTAGAAGCCCAAGTGTTTAAGTAGAGAAAGGACACTAATAAGAAAATTACTCCCTTTAATCCCAGCCCTTTAGGAGGCCAGGGTGGGTGGATTGCTTGAGCCCAGAGTTCAAGACCAGCCTAGGCAACATGGCAAAGCCTCATCTCTATTTAAAAAAAAAAAAGACAATTGTCATCTGTGCCCTTTTGGAACAAGGTGTCATATAAAGACCATCATTTCCCACTCTGCCATTTTTTAGATAAAAGTCTCACAGCTGTTTATTGGTAAAATTGGGTGTTCTGACTTTCAACCCAGAACTGTATCATTCATCTGTATTATGATCTGCCATTTCACAAAATAAGGTTTTGTTAAACCAAAATTAAGTGTATAGCTGAAGGAAAAGGAAAGAAAAATTGGAGTATATGGCTGGGCACGGTGGCTCACGCCTGTAATCCCAGCACTTTGAGAGGCCAAGGCGGGCGGATTACCTGAGGTCGGAAGTTTGAGACCACCCTGACCAACATGGAGAAACCCCGTCTCTACTAAAAATATAAAATTAGCCAGGCGTGGTGGTGCTAATCCCAGCCACTCGGGAGGCTGAGGCAGGAGAATTGCTTGAACGTGGGAGGTGGAGGTTGCAGTGATCCGAGATCACACCATTGCACTCTAGCCTGGACAAGGAGAGTGAAACTCCATCTCAAAAAAAAAGAAAGAAAGAAAAATTGGAGTATATTTGTATTTTCTTGTTTTTTTTTTTTCTTTTTGTTATATTTGTATTTTCTAATTAATATGTTTCCTAATCAAGATACATACCTAGGTTAACCAGTTCTGTCTGGTGCTAGTCTAGTTATAATTCATCATTAAAGTCAATTGATGTTTGAAAAATTGAGATTGTATGCATCCTAAAAGCAAATCCGCATATAGGAGCTTTTATGTCCAAAAAGCTCTTTAATTCAGAATGATCTAGTCTTGTTTTGGGTTTTGTTTTGAGACAGTCTCGCTCTGTCGCCCAGGCTAGAATGTAGTGGCATGATCTCAGCTCACTGCAACCTCCATCTCCCGGGTTCAAGCAATTCTCCTGCCTCAGCCTCCCGAGTGGCTGGGATTCAAGCTATTTTCCTGCCTCAACCTCCTGGTAACTGGCATTACAGGCATGTGTCACCACGCCTGGCTAATTATTTGTATTTTTAGAAGAGACAGGGTTTTACCATGTTAATCGGGCTGGTCTTGAACTTCTGACCTCAAGTGATCCACCTGCCTCAGCCTCCTAAAGTGCTGGGATTACAGGTGTGAGCCACCATGCCCAGCCGGAATTTATTATTACCTCTTGGCCCAACCACTGTAAGTCCCTAATTGGATATGTTAATTTGTCAGGTTGTAGGCTTCCTCCATAGCCCCTATCAAATTGCTCAGTAGCTTTATTGGGCATATTCTTCCCATTTTAGGAACAGCTGTTGAGGTTTTGAGACTTACTCTGCTCTTTGATATTGATGTATTTGATGCATTCCCTCCACAAAATTCCCATCCAAAGTAGAGTAAAAGCAGAGAAATGAAATGATCTTGCTCAGCCCTTCTTTCATGTGTTTGTGTTAAATTTTAAGGACATACAGTTGACCCTTGAAAACTTAGGGTGTTAAGGACACTGACCCCCAGTACAGTTGGAAATATATATAACTTTTGAGCCCCCCACAAACTTAACTCTTAATAGCCTATTGACCAAAAGCCTTACCAATAACATAAATGTCTATGAATACATATTTTGTATTACATATATGTTATATAATGTATTCTTAACACAAAGTAAGCTAGAGAAAAGAAAATGGTATGAAGAAAATCATAAATAAGGAAGGGAACTATATTTATGATTCATTAAGTGGAAGTTCGTCATCATAAAGGTCTTCATCCTCATCATCTTCACATTGATTAGGCTGAGGAGGAAGAGGTGGGCTGGACCCACTTTCTCAGGGGTGGCCGAAGTGGAAGAAGTAGAAGGGGTGGCAGGAGAGGCAGGCACATTCAGTGTAACTTTCATTGAAAAAAATCCAAATATAAGTGGACCCACACAGTTTAAACCCATGTTGTTCTAGAGTCAACTGTATTTCTTAATTGTACTGTCTGTGAATAAAGATGTTTTATGTCTATTGACATTTTAGAGAATACTCTCTTAAGTATGTTTGATTATATTTAACAGAATTGTAATTTGGTTTCTGTTTTACAAAGAGGCTTGTTGGATTATTGAATTTTTGTCCTTGCAGGAATCTATTCGATGGTTAGAAGATGAAAAGGCTCTCTTAGAGATGACTGAAGAAGTAGACTATGATGTCGATTCATATGCCACACAACTTGAAGCTATTCTTGAGCAAAAAATAGACATTTTAACTGAGCTGCGGGGTAATTCTTTTTCCATTTTAATATTTGAAATCTGATTGGTATTAGTATATATATTAGTGAAGAGGGTTTCATATTGCAAGAGGACATATGAAGTGAAAATTATGGACACTGTTTAGCACCTACTTTCCAGAGGTATAAAGACAGCTAACCATTTTGGTTTTTCTAAAAGTCATGGCATATCATTTCAAGTTTTCTCTAGTCATCTTTCTTTTCATATTTTAACACAGACATCTTAAAGAGAGAAAATGTGTTTTTAACAAATTTATAAATTTTATATACCTATTCAAATCTTTAGTTTGATAGGCTGATGCTTATGAGAATTATCTTCTTTCTGTCTTTTTTCGGGTCTCACTCTTGCCCAGGCTGGAGCACAGGGGTGTGATCATGGCTCACTACAGCTTCAACCTCCTGTACTCAAGCAGTCCTCCCACCTCAGTCTCCTGAGTAGCTGGGACTACAGGCACGAGCCACCACACCCAGCTAATTTTTAATTTTTTGTAGGGATGGGGTGTTGCTATATTGCCTACACTGGTCTCAAACTCCTGGGCTCAAGCAATTCCCCTGCCTTGGCCTCCCATAGTGCTGGGATTACAGGCATGAGCCACCACACTTGGCCTCTGTGCCACTTTTTTTAAATGAAGTGTCAAGATGACTACTCTGTATACCTTACTCATGAAGGGAAGTGTCTGCCTTACCTACTAAATCGTGTCCTTTTGTTTTTTTTAGTTAGCTTATCTGTGTAGCTTCAGCTATGCATTATTTTATGTGTTAATTTTTTAGGCATTTGTATACTATTGGCTCTGTTTATGTGTAAGTGAGCATCTGTATGTATGTGTACATGCAATCCAACATAAGCCAGAATTAAATTCCTAGTTTGAGACAGTTAAATAAGCTGCTTAATTTTTTTTAAGGAGGCCCTTTGTGAGGTTGGTTAGTTGTTTTGAAGGGTTATTTTTCTTTCAAATTTATTTATTTATTTAAATTGACATCCCAGCCTGGACAATATAGAGATCCTGTCTCTAAAAAATAATTTAAAAATTAAAAAAATTAGCCAGGCATGGTGGCATCTGCCTGTAGTCCCAGCTACTCAGGAGGCTGAAGAAGGAGGATCACTTGATCCCAGGAGTTTGAGGCTGCAGTGAGCTAGGATCATGTCACTGCACTCTAGTTTGAGCAACACAGTGAGATCCTGTCTCAAAAAATTAAAAATTGACGTATAAAAATGTATGTATTAGGTACAGCATGATATTTTGAAGTATATACAAGTTGAGTATCCCTTATCTGAAAACTTGAAAAAAGAGTGTTTTGGATTTCAGATTTTTGAATATTTGCATTATACCAAAAGTTTGGGATTTCAGGTTTCAGGGTTTTTTTGTTTTGTTTTGTTTCTGAGACGGTGTCTCACTTTGTCGCCCAGGCTGGAGTGCAGTGGCAATCTTAGCTCACTGCAGCCTCTACCTCCCACCATAAGTTTTAAGAAATTACTATCTAGACATATTGTATTATTCATGCAGTTCTCCTGCCTCAGACTCCCGAGTAGCTGGGATTACAGATGTGTACCACTGTACCTGGCTAATTTTTGTATTTTCAGTAGAGACAGCGTTTCACCATATTGGCCTGGCTGGTCTTGAACTCCTGACCTCAGGTGATCTGCCCATCTGGGCCTCTCAAAGTGCTGCAATTATAGGTGTGAGCCACCGCGCCCTGCCACATTTTTGGATTTGAGATGTTCAACACATACGTGTTGCTGACTGGTTATGAAGTTAGTTATTTGAAATCATATTCTGTAAAGTCTGCAGTGACTATTGAACTAAAATTTTCATTTGTTTCTCATATTGTTCATATTCAAGCCTTTATTTAAATTGTTTTTGTTTTTTTGTTTTTCATTTTTCTAATCTGCGGTAATTTACTATCAGCTTCTGTATCCATTCAGAAGACAGGTCATAATACACTCTAGTATTTTTTCTTTGTAGCATTCAACTTAATTGACTTCCTTTCCTTTTCTCAAATTTCATGTATATCAAGCATATCCATAACTTATAAAAAATTATCCAGCTGTATTGGCATCATTCAGTCCTTAGAATTTTTTTAACCACCCGGAGATAAATTTGAGATTCATAAGAACAATTTGGGCCGCGCGCCTGTAATACCAGCATTTTGTGAGGCCGAGGCAGGTAGATCACCTGAGGTCAGGAGTTCAAGACCAGCCTGGTTAACATGATGAAATCCCATCTCTACTAAAAATACAAAAATTAGCCAGGTATGGTGGCATGCGCCTGTAGGCCCAGCTACTCGGGAAGCTGAGGCAGAAGGATCACTTGAATCTGGGGGGAGGAGGTTGCAGTGAGCCAAGATTGCACCATTGCACTCTAGCCTGGGCGAATGAGCAAGACTCTGTCTCCAAAAAAAAAAAAAAGTAACAGTTTGAGAGCACCAAATCCAGAAGTCCTTAAATTTATTTCTAAATTTCAAAACTTAACTTTTTAAACATCACTGTACTTCCAAAAAAGGGGAGGAAAATTGAGATTGCAACTTACTTTTCTTCTGAAATCTATGGAGTACGGTTTTGTAACCTTGGCACTATTAACAACATTTGGGGCTAGGCAGTTTTTTGTTGAGGAGTGTTATCCTGTATATACAATATTTATCAGCATTATTGATCTCTGTCCACTACATGACAGTAGCACCACACCAGTTGAAATAACCAAAAATGCCTCTAGACATTACAAATGCCCACTGGGGGCCAAAAATCACATTCAGTTGAGAACCACTGTTATTGAAAGATGGCTTATCTTCATAGCTGCATATAATTTGTCTGACAATTTACTAACTTATTTCTGGTTCTTATATGACTCTAGATCAGTACATGACCAAAAAGAATGTGTAAAAGCAAGAAATATATCGTTTTGTCATCCCCACTTCATAATCCCCCTTCCTAACAATGAGGAAAAAATGTAAATTTCTAAAAATTCAAACACATTTTAAATCTCTATAGCCTAAGGTGAAATTGGGGGGCTGGGCGCGGTGGCTGACGCCTGTAATCCCAGCACTTTGGGAGGCCAAGACAGGCAGATCATGAGGTCAGGAATTTGAGACCAGCCTGGCCAACATGGTAAAACCCCGTCTCTACTAAAAATATAAAACGTAGTTGGGTGTGGTGGCATCCTGTCAGTAATCCCAGCTACTCGGGAGGCTGAGGCAGGAGAATCACTAGAACCTGGGAGGCAAAGGTTGCAGTGAGCTGAGATCGTTGCACATCAGCCTAGGCAACAGAGAGAGACTCCGTCTCAAAAAAAAAATAGGTATTTCTGGAAATCTGTAACAAAACTTTTGCAATAGTTGAGCATTGTATTTAGTTCTGAGTTTCTAGACAACAAAAGGAAAAATATGGAGTTACTGTTGTAAACTCTTATTGCATGTAACACAATACTTATTCCCTCTTTTTCTTTTTCCAAGATAAAGTGAAATCTTTCCGTGCAGCTCTACAAGAAGAGGAACAAGCCAGCAAGCAAATCAACCCGAAGAGACCCCGTGCCCTTTAAACCGGCATTTGCTGCTAAAGGATCCCAGAATCCTCACTACTGTAACATAAAACGGTTCAGCTGTAAGGGCCATTTGAAAGTTTGAAATTTTAAAGTGTCTGTGGAAAATGTTTTGTCCTTCACCTGAAATTACATTTCAATTTTGTGAAACACTCTTTTGTCTACAAAATGCTTCTAGTCCAGGAGGCACAACCAAGAATTGGGATTAATGAAGCATTTTGTTTCATTTATGCAAATAGTGATTTACTTTTGGAGATCCTTGTCAATTTTATTTTCTATATGATGAAGTAAGACTGTGGACTCAATCCAGAGCCAGATAGTAGGGGGAAGCCACAGCATTTCCTTTTAACTCAGTTCAATTTTTGTAGTGAGACTGAGCAGTTTTAAACCCTTTGTGTGCATGCATACCTCATCAGTGATTGTACATACCTTGCCCACTCCTAGAGACAGCTGTGCTCACCTTTTCCTGCTTTGTGCCTTGACTAAGGCTACTGACCCTAAATTTCTGAAGCACAGCCAAGAACAATTACATTCCTTATTTGTCATTGTAAATTACCTTTGTGTGTACATTTTTACTGTATTTGAGACATTCTTTGTGTGTGACTAGTTAATTTTGCAGGATGTGCCATATCATTGAACGGAACTAAAGTCTGTGACAGTGGATATAGCTGCTGGACCATTCCATCTTATATGTAAAGAAATCTGGAATTATGATTTAAAACCATATAACATGTGATTATAATTTTTCTTAGCATTTTCTTTGTAAAGAACTAAAATATAAACTAGTTGGTGTATAATAAAAAGTAATGAAATTCTGAGAAGAGTTTTATCTTAGGAAAATACATATATATGCAGTGTGTGTGCCAGTGTGGTATTAACAAGACTAATAGTGCAATTTGATCCTTACCAATATGATTACTTAATTTGAAGTGTTCATTAGCACCCTAAAATATACCTTTTCTATGTACTGTTAAAGGAAATTGGCTTCTGATGCATGAACATTTACATGTACATTGAAAGTAGTCCATAATAGAAGTTAGCTTAAGCCAAGTGTAGACAGTACATTACTCCCTTGAAAAAGAATTAAGCTGCAAAAGAGTTGACTTTGCCTTAAAAGGCAGATCTAACCCAAGCTCCATCCAGTACCAAATGTGAAACTTCATCATTATTTGGTGAGAATCACCAAATTCTCACTAATACATTGGTGTAGGGCATGCTACTTTTTAAACGGCAGCACTTATTTTTACAGATTGCTACTCTAAGAAAGAAAACTGGCCACTTTTCATGTAAATATTTTGTTAAAAGATTTTGTATATCTCTCTAGGAGTTTTTCCTCAGTTCCCAGGATAGCGTCTGGGAGTAGATTAACAACTAAAAATCTCCCAAGGATATCTTGTTTTGATTTATTTACTCCAGGGAACTACCAGCTCATTCATAGGAGCCAAAGGGAAGCTATGAATAGAGAGTCATATGAGCCAGATTCTTTACTTTACTGTTCATAAAACCCAGAGAGTAGTTGTGAAAGATCCTAATACAATTGTGAAAAGCTCTGTAAACATGAAATCTAAAACAAATGTAGATTTTCACAATATGCTTATTAATAAATGAAGTCTATGGAATGAGTTTTAGAGATAATTTACTTCAGTACAATCACCTTTGTTTTGGAAGGGACTCAGGTTTTCTTGCAGCTGTAAGATATATTCTATTTGTGTTTATTTCAAAGGGAAGAGGAAGAATGGAGAACTGTTACAATTGACCTTGCAGAGGCTGTTTAAAAAAGGTAGTTTTTGAGATTAACCAGACTTCAAAGGGCAATAAAGACGTATGAATTTGCTCATTTTAAAGCACAACAGATTAGCTTCAAATTTATTATTTGCATTGGATGGGTAATATGTTTGGAAAGTCTCCTTATAGACAAATATACTGCCTTACTTTATGATGGCTTCATTCTGATCCGGTATTTTAAAAATTAGTACCAGAAAAGACCTTGGAGGTAGTATAATACAGTCCTTCAGCTTTACAGATAGTTAAAACTGAAGGCCAGAAAAGGAACTAGGACTCAGCAGTTTATAGGGGTAGAGGGAAATAACTTGAGAAAGCCGAGTTAAATGTTAAATTTTTTTCTGTAAGGATAGAGATGATACAAGTAAACTTTGCAAAATAGTTTTGTGAGATTAAACAAAAAATCTACCCTTATGTATATTTCATATTTGTTTAAAAAAAGCAGCTTGATGCTTTTGTTCTGGATTAAATATTAAGAACAAGCATTGTTTTATATAGTAACATTTAGTATATGAATTTCAAGCCAGATTTCAAAATCTAGCTTTGTTAAATTAATTGGAAACTCTCCTTCTATTAATATTAAGTTAGTTATTTTAAAGAAAGCCAAATATCAATAAAGATATTTTTATTAATTTTTTATAGAAATAAAATAGCTACTATAATTCTTTATTATAGTATATTAACAGCAGTTAGTATTATATTGATTTAAACATAAGTAGCTAATAAAACTTGTTTATGACCTCTATTGAAATTCTCAATCTGACAGTTTCAAAATAGTTTAAAACTAAGCACCAGGTATATGAAAAAAGTATGGGAAATTTTAGTTATCCAGAAATCATAGGAATACAGGGAACCTGTAGTTATGGGAAATGGCTGTTTTTCTGAAGTTGAAAGCAAACATAAAACCAGTTTCAATTTATAAAACCCTTTAAGAGTTTGCTAAGTTATCTCCCTAAGAACTAAAAAGATAAAGGTAATTTTATATTAATTTCATTCCAGTTTAGCTTCTCAATATGCCTGGTACTGCATGGTGGCAGTAGCAGACTCGGGCTTACCCAGAACCCTAAGTCTATGATGCTACAGGATAGCGAAAGAGGTAGGCAATCATAACAGACATTGTATAGGATAAATAGGGAAGAGAATGAGAGAAGCAAAATAAAAATAAGAAACAATTGTTTTACTGTACATGTGAATAACAAGAAATGGTATGAGGAATGTGAATAACATGAAATGGTATGGGGAATGTGTGACTAGTGAAGCATATTTTAACTTTTTTACTACTGGAGGAACAGACCTAAAGAAGGCCTCACAGTATATTACACAGTAAATAGAAGAGTAACATCTTTATACAATAAACTGTGAGAAATGATAAGCTTAAGTATAAAGTTGTGCGTCTCTGCGGCTCCTGAACGTGAAGATTATTATTAATAGATTGGACCTGCTCTATGTTATATATTAAACCAAAACCAAAAAAAAACTTGCATACTTAGAACTTTCCAACTTAAAAATTCAGAATAATAAATGGTGACAGCAGTAGTAGTATTAAACCAAAAATAGTCAACTAAGGAATGTCTCAGTAAAGCAAAAGCATCATCTTCTCAAATATAAAAAATGTAGATTTCTTTTCTTGACCTTAAAAAATTCTGTTTTCCAAATGCCTAGGAAAAATGAATACCTTCTGTGTTGAATCCATGTAGCAATCTGAAAAAAGAAATCAAAATGGAACGGTACTGAAAAGCTAATTTGTAGCACCTAATGGTATATAGTTCTATACAACTAATTCTGAAAAACATGAACACAGCATGCCTACAGAGCCCACCCACTCCTAATGCTAGTTACTAAAGAAATGTTACTGGCTGGGCGCAATGGCTCACGCCTGTAATCCCAACACTCTGGGAGGCTGAGATAGGTGGATCACCTGAAGTCAGGAGTTTGAGACCAGTTTGGCCAACATGGTGAAACCCCATCTCTACTGAAAATATAAAAGTTAGTCAGGTGTGGTGGCACATGCCTGTAATCACAGCTACTTGGGAGGCTCAAGCATGAGAATTGGCTTGAACCTGGGAGGTAGAGGTTGCAGTGAGCTGAGATTGGGCCATTGCACTCCAGCCTAGGCAACAGAGCAAGACTCTGTCTCAAAAAAAGAAAGAAACATTACTGTCTGACTACATTTATAAGATAGATATATATTGGTTAAAACAATGCCATGTTGGTGCTTCTTTCATTATAGCCTATATGTTATAATGAATTTGACTAAAATTGTCTTGGACTTTTGTTATCCCAGGCTAAGAACTCCTTGGCACTTGTTTCATTTCAACATGGTAACTGAACAAGAAGCTGTTTGGAATTGGCAGAAGTCAGATGAATGACCAATCTTACATGCCCATTCTTCCTCTCTTGAGCTGTTATTTATATTCAAATTAAATACACATTGTTTCTCTCTGTAGATACCTATGTACTTATTAGATTCTAGTTAGTAAACTGCACATGCTCAGTAACTTTGAGGAAATTTAGTGAAAATGAAGGAAAAAAAATAAAACATTTCACTTTAGACCTGAGGTTATTTTTAGGCAGACCCATAGAAACAGGTCCAGATAAATTGTCTAAAAAAGCAAAGTAGGTACTTATGAATAGTATTCAGTGCCTAGAATTAACATCAAAGAGACTCAGTAGTACTACTAGCCACCCAATAAAATATAAACTCCATTTGTATTAGTTATATAGAACTGTGTTTCCAGCTTAGAAAAAGTCTAACTAATGACTTTTATAACAATCTACCTTCATTGTTTATTCAGCCTCCAGAACATGGAAGCTTTAAAAGTGAATTGGCTAAATAGGCAAGAACTTCTGAAAGTTAACATATTAATGACTAAAAACAGTAAGTAGAGGTTAGTAATTACCTGAGTAATTAATTGAAGCCTTATTTTATTTTTGTAAGACTTACTTGCTTAATTCAAGCAAAACAATTTTTTGTCTAAATTACTTAGATAATTATGACATCTTTTTACCTTAGAAGTGTAGAACTTGCCTCAGGCTACAAAAGTAACTATGTATTATTACTAAACAGATAACCAGGTAGGATTGTGACTGACATTATTGTATGCTTAACATTGATTTAACAACAGCTATTCCCAGTAAGGAAATTTTAAAAATCAGATCCAGTTACATGTATTATGATTTTTCTACCTTTGGACTATTTTGGAGGGATAAGTTATTAAGACTAAGACTATGAATGAAAGTTGAGGAGGGAGTGGGAAGGGAGGAACATGCACACCATATTAACACAAAGGCAATCTTCTGGCTCGGACTGTTCTTTACTACTATTCTTAAAGAAAATGTTCATTCTGCTGCAGCTAACTAGCCTCCATCTTTTACACCAAATACTATTCCATGCCATGGAAGTGCTATGCAATAACTCTCCCCGGTAGCACCTTATACCGCTTAAAAGCCTTTAAAATCTCTAATCTGAAGGTGTCACAGTAAAGAAATGTAAACACTTAGGAAAACAAAAATGTAATTACCTGATGAAGTCATCTATGTCCATGGAACGGGCCCGTTTGTCACTAAAGCCTGTGCTGGTTAGGATTTGCTGTATTTTATCTGCTATGCTGAAATCTTCTGGTATTATCTATCAATATAAGATTCAGAATAAATGAACGACATATCTTTAATGAGGTCACTTTGACTCTTTTTTTTAGTTCAGTAAGTCATAAAATAGTCACCTTTAATGTATTTGTTAATGAAAGTTTGGAAAGCCTGATTGTTTACATAAGACTTGAATCAAATTAGTTAAGTGGCTGATATTTATTTACAAAAATTTGGAATACCTTGAATTAGTAATCATGTATATATTAGCCTTTTACTTCTTTAAAATTCTGAAATAGTTAGTTTCAGACTTCACAAATAATTAAAACTGTAAACTAAATTTTAAAGCAACTGTTACTCCTTTCAAAATAATGCATTTTCTTGCTACACATTTCACCTAACCACCTTGTTTTTCTCAAAGAGGTGACCTCTCCAAGCCTTGAGAGTTTTAAGGATTTTATCCTTAATTCACATATTTTATTCAAAGATTTTTCTTAATCCAGCTTACTATTTTTCTATTACACTTAGGCAGATTATCTAATGACCTTTTGCCTATGAAAGAGAAAATAGAGCTAGTATTGTGATACATTAAACCATACAGGTTCTCAGTCATTAAAAATACAAAGAAAATTGGCCTTTATCCGTCTTTTCTGTTTAAACTGGAAGCTAAAAAGCTAGCAAACATCACATTACAGACATTGTTACACAAATGATAAGCTCACAATCAGAAATCTGTATTGAGCGTGTGAACTTTATTCTAATTTCAATTTCTGGGTATTTAAAAAACTACAAAGAAAATATATTTGTAACTGCTATGTGAGCAAAAAACAAGAGATGGTCACAATTCAGAGGACAGTAAATTGTATATAATTAAGTTTTTCAAGTTACACATATCTACAGCTTTGAGGAAACTATAACAGCTGAATCCTGTTATGGCTAAAAGCAACTGTCAGTAGTTAGATGACAGACTAGAGTAATCAAAGTTGCTCATATCTGTTCCACAGGATACACAGCAGCACCGACCTGTCAGAGTTCAAGTCAAAATTGTGCTAGTTATGCATTGTATCTCTTTTAAGGAGCCTATGGAATGTACAAAATAATCTCATGCTAGATCAACAAGAATAAAAATGGACATTCAAAAACAAATCAGTGAAACTGCAGGAACATTTTCTACTTACAATATTATGGACTGAACAGTGAATTCTATAGTTTTTTTCCAAGAGTTGTTGCACGGCACTTGATCTATAGCATAAAGAAGTGATGCCACTGTTATTATTTCAAAGTCAGAGCTATTATACATAATTTCATACTTTTTAACACTTTTTTTTTTACTAATATATAAACTAGTTTAATAATTTCAGTTTAGATTACATTAAATCTATGTTCCATATGGTGAAATTAAGGAATTTTAAGAGTTGAATAAACTTATAAAGCAAACACTAATTATACTTAAAGTGCAGAATCCTGATAAATACTTCCTCAATTCTTAGAGAAGTTCTAGACCCGTCACAAAACACTCCCTAAAAAAAAACAAACTCCAAGCCCTCTAAAACTGTCTCTCGCCTCTCTTTTACCCTTGAACCCCAAATTGATGTGTTGCATTTTCCCAGGTTAATAAGATGACACATATCCTTCATTAAGTGTGGAAGAGGTCCACCATCATCTCATTTTTCCAACAAAAAACTAGAGCTGATGTATGGTCAGAGTTTGGAGTGTTTTCCTGTTTTACCAGAAACCCTTATCTGACTCAACTCCAGCAAACTTCATTAAGTTCTCCTGCCTCCCAAGGTCCAAAGACAATTAAAAAGGTAGTTTGTCTCGGACCCATAATCTTTACACTTGGACCAAATTCTAGCACAGTATCTGGAGCAGTGGTCCTTTATACATTAGAAATTAGTGAAATATTGGGCCGGGCGCGGTGGCTCAAGCCTGTAATCCCAGCACTTTGGGAGGCCGAGGCAGGTGGATCACAAGGTCAAGAGATCGAGACCATCCTGGTCAACATGGTGAAACCCCGTCTCTACTAAAACTACAAAAAAATTAGCTGGGCATGGTGGCACGTGTCTGTAGTCCCAGCTACTCAGGAGGCTGAGGCAGGAGAATTGCCTGAACTCAAGAGGCGGAGGTTGTGGTGAGCCGAGATCGCACCATTGCACTCCAGCCTGGGTAACATGAGTGAAACTCCGTCTCAAAAAAAAAAAGAAATTAGTGAAATACTTACTTAAATGCAGCAGAGAGTGTCTTGTTTTTCCTAACAAAGGTTATCCTTACTAGACCATCCCATTCCTGAAACAGAAGATAGATATTTTCTTCAAATTACAAACTTCTTGTTCTTGTCTATGCCTGCTAGGTATTATTTTTTCTTTTAATAAGGAATTTTCTAAAGTGAACAAAATGTTCTGTATCTTCATCTGGCTGGCACACATATGTAAAAGTAAGACATACACTTGATTTTTGCAGTTTGGTGCATTTAACTGAATGTGTCTTTTCCTCAGAATTTTTTTTTGACAAGCGTCAAAGCATGACAATATTTTTTTTTAATTGGAAAAAATAAAGCCAGGCACAGTGGTGCATGCCTTTAGTACCAGCTACTCAGGAGGCTGAGGTGGGAGGATCACTTGAGACAAAAGTTCAAGTTCAGCCTAGGCAACATAGTGAAACCCTATCTTAAAAAAAGGCGGGAGAAAAACAAAACTGTCCCACATCTGAACAAAGAACATGGCACTATTTATTTAAATCTAAGAATCATTTTCAAAAATAAGATTCAAAACAGACATGACTTCAGATAAGGCTTGTGTAACACACCTAAACCTCCTTGAAGGAGTTATTGATGAACCACTCCATTTACCACCAGATGACCACACACACAATCGTATTTTTCTCTAATATGACTAGTAAGGTTTTACCTGAAGTGGTCTTTCTTGTTTTTAAATCTCAGAAACAATTATGATTAAAACATGTTACCCATAATATTACTTTAAAACAACCATTTTTACTTTACCTTGTTTTCCAAATTTTAGTCAATTTTTTTTTTTTTTTTGAGACTGGGTCTCACTTCATAACTACTTTGTATCAAATTATTCCATCTCCTTCAGCACAGGGATGTGTGCTAATTAACATTTCCCTATGTTTGGATATTTAGGTTGACTTAATATTTTTCTGCTGCTATAGACACACATTTTCCAGCCTGGACTTCTTTTTTTTCCTTTAGTGAATGAGCCAGTATTTTAACCTTACCTGAAAATTGATGGGTGGTGGTGGATTCTTAGGTTCTATCCTTACAACGCTGGATTCCACCTTGGGCGGTGGTCTGAAGTTATTCTTTCCAACCTGTTAATGAAAAAGTATTTCAGTAGTACTTTCAAAGGCAACTTTTATTTAGTAACCAAAGATGCTATCCTCACAGAAGGCACAACTAGATGCTCAAGGATGAGTTAAGCTAGATTACTGCAATAACAATCACTGGCCAGGTGCTGTGGCTCACACCTATAATCCCAGCATTTTGGGAGGCCAAGGCAGATGGATCATTGAGCCCAGGAGTTCAAGACCAACCTGAGCAACATAGTGAAACCCTATGTCTATTAAAAAATACCAAAAACTGGGCTAATGCCGTTTTCGGCCTTACCCTACCTGCACCCAGGTGAATAAAAAAACAAAAATTAGCCGGGCGTGGTGACGCACACCTCTAGTCCCAGCTACTCAAGAACTGAGGTGAGAGGACTGCTCGAGTCTGGGAGGCAGAGAGTGCAGTGAGCCACTACACTGCAGCCTAGGTGACAAAGCTAGACTGTGTCTCAGAAAAAAGAGAAAGAAACAAAATTCACTTACTTTCATTAGATGGTCCACACGTGCCAACAGTTGTGTATTAATTGAGAGTCTGCAGTATAATTTATCTCCAGGTTTTGCAACCAGTCGGAGGGCAAATTCTCTTTGAAACATAAGTATAGCACATCTGTAAAGAAAGCAGAGAAGAATAAAGAAAATGGTCACTGTCAACTATAAATGAATTTTCACTGCAATGAATTTTCCTGGTAGAGAAATAGCAAAGCACTGGCAGCTGATTATACGGTAGGAGAACATTTTCAGCCTTTGTTTTATTGCCATAGAATGAGACCACAGGCTTTGTTTTTATAATGGCTGTACTCCTCACCCCAAGATAGCTTGCAAATGTAAGCTCTCAGTAAATAAGAAGGTGTTTCAAACCAGGACTAGTCCATCACCTCTTCTATGAAAACAAAAAGTGAAACAAAATTGTTTCAGTAGAAATATATCAGGTAGCAAACACCTTTAAGGAAGAGGTAACGCTGAAGAGGCAGATTGTGATGTTCAATGTCTCCCTGATTTGCCAGGTTAAAAGATGTAGATGTAGACTTTTTTTTTTTTTTTTTGAGACAGAGTTTCACTCTTGTGGCCCAGGCTGGAGTGCAATGGCATGATCTTGGTCACTGCTACCTCTGCCTCCTAGGTTCAAGTGATTCTCGTGCCTCAGCCTCCTGAGTAGCTGGGATTACAGGTGCATGCCACCATGCCTGGCTAATTTTTGTATTTTTAGTAGAGACGGGGTTTTACCACATTAGCCAGGCTGGTCTCAAACTGCTGACCTCAAGTAATCTGTCCACCTCAGCCTCCCAAAGTGCTGGGATTACAGGCATGAGCCATCACACCTAGCCAAAAGATGTAGACTTTCTTAATCAGCAGGCAATGGGGAGACTTTGTAAGGGTTAACGAACAGGGGAACATCTTCAAAGCTGTACTTCACATTCAAACTTTTGACGAGTCATACAAAAAAATATATTTGGCACTGTAACCCAAGCCACAAATGCCT